AGAGAACACAGGCAGTACACTCTTTGACATCAGTTTCAAAAGAATCTTTTCGAACACCATAACTCCTCAGACGAGGGAAACAATAGAAAGAAAAAACAAATGGGACTTCATCAGACTAAAGAGCTTCTTCAAGGCAAGGGAAAACAGGATTGAAACAAAAAAACAGCCCACTAAGTGGGAAAAAATATTTACAAGTTACTTATCTGACAAAGGGTTAATCTCCATAATATATAAAGAACTCACACAGCTCAACAACAAAAAATCAAACAACCCAATCAAAAAATGGGCAGGGGACATAAACAGACATTTCTCCACAGAAGATATACGATGGCCAATAGACACATGAAAAGATGCTCATCATCACTAATCATCAGGGAAATGCAAATCAAAACTACACTAAGATATCACCTTACACCCGTTAGAATGACAAAAATATCTAAAACTAATAGCAACGAATGTTGGAGAGGTTGCAGAGAAAAAGGAACCCTCATACACTGCTGGTGGGAATGCAAACTGGTGCAGCCACTAGGGAAAACAGTATGGAGATTCCTCAAAAAACTAAAAATAGAACTACCATACGATCCAGCCATCCCACTACTGGGTATTTATCCAAAGAGCTTGAAGTCAGCAATCCCAAAAGTCCTATGCACCCCAATGTTTATTGCAGCACTGTTTACAATAGCCAAGACGTGGAAGCAACCTAAGTGCCCATCAACAGACGAATGGATAAAGAAGATGTGGTACATATATACAATGGAATACTACTCAGCTGCAAAACAGAACAAAATCATTCCATTTGCAATAACATGGATGGACCTTGAGAGAATTATGTTAAGTGAAATAAGCCAGCGAGAGAAAGATAATCTGTGTATGACTCCACTCATATGAGGAATTTAAAACTATGGACCAAGAACAGTTTAGTGGATACCAGGGGAAAGGTGGGGTGGGGGGTGGGCACAAAGGGTGAAGTGGTGCACCTACAACATGACTGACAAACATTAATGTACAATTGAAATTTCACAAGATTGTAACCTATCAATAACTCAATAAAAAAAAAATAAAAAACTACACTAAGATATCACCTTACACCTGTTAGAATGGCAAAAATATCCAAAACCAAGAGTGACAAATGTTGGAGAGGTTGTGGAGAAAAAGGAACCCTCATACACTGTTGGTGGGAGTGCAAACTGGTGCAGCCACTACGGAAAACAGTATGGAGATTTCTCAAAAAGTTAAAAATAGAAATACCTTATGACCCAGCCATCCCACTACTGGGTATCTATCCTAAGAACCTGAAATCAGCAATTCCAAAAGTCCCATGCACCCCTATGTTCATTGCAGCATTATTTACAATAGCCAAGATGTGGAACCAACCTAAGTGCCCATCAACTGATGATTGGATAAAGAAGATACGGTGTGTATACATATATACATACACATACACATACACACATACACACACACACACACACACACACACACACACACACACACACAATGGAATACTACTCAGCCATAAAAAAGGACAAAATCGTCCCATTCACAACAACATGGATGGACCTTGAGGGAATTATGTTAAATGAAATAAGCCAGACAAAGAAAGACGAACTCTGTATGACTCCACTCATAGGTGGAAGTTAACATACAGACAAGGAGATCTGATCCGTGGTTACCAGGTGAAGGGGGGGTGGGGTGGGGGGAGGGCACAAAGGGTGAAATGGTGTACCCACAACATAATTAACAATAATGTACAACTGAAATTTCACAAGGTTGTAAACTATCATAGTCTTAAAAAAAAAAGTCAATCTCCTCAGTTAGTTAAGAATGGAAGGGCTTGGAGAATGTGCCATTAGTCTGTCCTGAAGATCAGTCTTCAAAAGTATTAGTCCAACATGGACTGATCTTGGATATTATTAACATAAATTTCTGCCTTAAAGAGGACAAAACATGTTTTTTCAGGTTCCTTCACAGACATATTTAGTCAGGGGAGCAACAAGGCACTTAGTCATCTCTGCTATGACAGGTTAAACACAGGGTGCACTGGAAGCATGTAAGAGGGCTACTTAACCCAGACTTGGGGGTCAAGAGACACGTTCCCAAGGAGGTATGTCTAAGTTGAAGTGGAGGTACACTGGCAAAGGAAGCTTGGAAATAAGAGAGCGTATAAGGGGAAATAAAAGTATTTCATCTGGCTGGAGAATGAGGTGTAAGACAGGGCAGCAATGACAAAGAAACAGGGAGACGCTAGACCCTGATGGGCCTTCTACAAGGAGTGACCATGTAATTTATTGTACAAACTGAGACACTTCTGAGAGTGAAATGAGACAATATTACTAATTACACGGAGACAACAGCAGTATATCAGACTGTCCCGAGCAAATTGGGACTTATGGTCACCCTACTTGTAAGTCACGTTCAGGTGCTTGGACCTCCAGTGAAAGCACAGATTGGATATCTTCTCTTTTTACCTTATACATTTTGCCTGAGTGACTTCATCCATACCTTTGCCTTTACTTGTTCATTTCACAGATATTCGTCCAGGATGAACTTCTGGGCACTGAGGTTACAAAGAAGAAAAGACACAGTGTCTGTCCTCATGCTCTGTCTAAAGAACACACACATCTGAAGAAATAACTCTAATACAGTTAAACAGTTTTAGCCCTGGCCTCTCCTCTGAGCTCTAAACTCATGTTATTTCCACTCAGACTGCAAAACACATCTGAAACAGAACTTTTAATTTCCTCTCAAAAAGTGTTCTTCCTTCAGCTGGTCTTTCACTTTCCCTTTAGCTGGTCTTACAATTAATGCCATTATCTACTACATTGCTGAAGGTGAAAACCCAGAAAAGCACTGGTTTATCCTTCCTCTCACTGTGCCTTTTAATTTCTCCACATCTATCTTAAGCACAATGACTAAATTGGGGCTTCGAATTCTAAGGAGGGCCTAACATCAATCGAAGAGGCAGGGTAATTTTCAGGTGCTTGAATGCTATGTTTTTAATGAACAGATTCCACTATTATGTGGGATTGTTTTTTCCACAATAGTACAACACTGATGACTCATGTTCAGTTTGTTGACAATTGTGACATCCAGATCTGGATATATGCCCAAGCCAGTCTCGAAAAATTTCAGTTTAGGTGAGAAAGACATGAAGGTATCCTAAGTGTTTGACCCTATCTCCTCCATGTGGAGGTGAGAGTCGCTGTGAAGGTGTAAAGGTGTGTACGTGAAACACCAGTGTTAGTAAACTATCTGCTGAACTGCTGTGTAAAAGGACAATTTTGCTTTAAAGGGCAATTTTAATGTTTCTACCATCTACTCTCCACACAGCTGCCAGCGATCCTTTTAAAACAATCTGGTTACTCCTTTGCTCTCAACCCTTCCATGGTAGTCTATCACATCCCAACAAAAATCCAAAGTCCAACTATGGCTTACCAGATGATACATGATCTGGCTTCTGCCTGTTTCCCAACTTATTTCTCTAATTTGCTCTGCTCCAGCCACACTGGTCTCCTTGCTTCTTCTCCAACATGCCAAGCAAGTCCCTATCTCAGGGCTACTGCAACCGCTGTTTCTCTTCTCCTAGAATAGTTTCCCTCTAGAAGTTCACATACCTGCCTCCCTCATTTAATGATTAGATTTCTGCTTATGTGCTCTTCCATCGAGAGGCCTTCCTTGTCTACTCCATCTAAAAGAGCATCCCCACATCAGTCTTCTCTCTTTATCCTGACTTATTTTTTTCCAGAAAACCTGCCACATTACGGGGCATTATCTATTATTTAGTAACATATTATGTGTATTGCTTATTGTCAATCTTCCCCACTATTATATGAGGCAGAGACTTTGTTTTGTTCACTGCTGAATTCCCAGCACCTAGAACAATGTCTGCTCTTTAAATATTTGTTGAATGAATGAATAGATTTTCAGGATACATCAAATGCAAAACTACTCTGTATTTATTGACACGATGCATAGGAAAATGTCTGGAAGAGCATCTACCAAAATGTTAACTGCTTATTTAACATGGTGGGAGCTGGTTTTCACATTATTTTTGCTCATGCAAATTCTCTGATTTTTTCTTTAGAATTACTCATAGACTAAAAAATAACGAGGCCACACAGGCAGAATGTGAAAATGAATTCTAAAAGACTTTGGGCAAATTTATGAAAGACAGAATTTTAAAAAGACGTAACAGCATAATGGTTAAGATAAACCACAGTTTGAATCACCTTCCCCAAGGCTTTCTGGCAGTAATGATCCCAAGTTATTTATAAGCCCAAGTCTAAATATCTTCACCTAGAAAATGTGGATAATAATAGTGCCTACCTCATAAGCTTGTTTTTGAAGATTAAATGAGACCATGTATATAACCTCCTTTGTACAATACCTGGCATGCAATAAATACTCCACAAGTGGTAGCTATGATAATAATTAGTAGTAACAAGAGATGTTGGGACATACCTAGCCCTCAAGATTGACATCAGAGTGGACCACCACATCCTCTCATCATTGCGCCTCAATCTGGGCCTCTGAAGCCCAAACAGGGAATGGTTCTTTCCAAAGAAGGTAATTTCGACGTTCCCGAAGCATCTGAGTAAAACGTCCCCTGTTTACCCTTAAACCATTCAGTCAGTCTGGTTAATCCATGAGCAGCACTGCAAGACCTGGACTGGAGAGGCGGTCACTGCTCGCCGTCCTTGGGCCCAGTCCCTTAGCCTCAAATTTCCTTTGCTGCAACAGGGGTAGGGGTGGGAACGTTAAAAACACAAAAGCAGGACAGTACCAGCCCGCTCCACCTCACCGCCCTCTGGAGGGGATGAAACGGCACCACGCACCGGCAAACCTCTGGCGACCGGCAACGCGCCTCACGGACAAACTGATAACTGCTCGGGCTCAAGTGTCGGGGAAGCTGCTCAGCCCCATCCTCCCGGGCCCCTGGCGGAGGACAGCGACGAGCACGCGACGAGGGCCTGCACGGGGGCCGAGGGGGCGGCGGCGGGCGCGCGACACGCAGCGGGTTCGCGCCTGCGCCGCTCGGGAGCGAGCACGCAAGCCCTTGGGCGCGCGTGCGCGTGGCTGGCGGCTCCGCGGCGCGGAGGAGGGGGACGCGGCGAGGTGAGGCACGAGGCGCCGCAGGGCGGGTGGCGGCGGGCTGCGAGCCCCCCTAGCGGGACAAGGGGGAGCGGGGAGCGCGAGGTGCGCTGGCGGAGAGGGGCGGGCGCTGGGTCCCGGCGGCTGGGGAGACGTGGCGGGCGGCGCTGGCCACGCGGGCTGTGGGGGAGGGCGGCACGGGACCCCTCGTGACCCCTGGGCCCCGCCCCGCGGCGAGTCAGGCCCATCCCGCCCTCTGGGCGGTGCCGCACGCCCACAGCCGCGGTATTCCTGGCTCCGCTGCGCTGGTGACAGCCACTGTGTGTCCTGCCCCTGCCCCATGTTCCCCGTTGAATTTCCAGGTAGGCCTTCTAGAGTAGGTAGGTCAGCTCCGTCTCAGAGCTGAGACTGACTGGGGCTCGGGTAAAATGACTTGCCCAAGATCATTCAGCTAATAGGGAACGAAGTGAGGATTAGAACCTCGTCTGCAAAACTCCGAAGCCTGCACCTGTCTTCTGCACCACGCTGAATGCTGCTCTTCCCACTACCTTCCTTCCTCCTCCCAGTAACTTCTCTGAATTTGGCAAATGTTGATTTGGAGCTAGCACCCATTCTTTCAAGCAAGTTAGTGTCACAGATGTCTCGGGGGAAGAAAGGAGAGGAAGAAAGATTCTGCGTATCGCAATATTGTGCTTATGACATGGAGGGTTTACCGGACTGTTTATCCATCCTTTGCTTGACCATTTCTATTAACCTCTGTTGAAACAGCGCTGCTATTCACTACCTGTAAGGCATTGTGCAACTAACGTTCTTTGAGAGCATCCTATCCTTCTTTGAAAAAGCAGCGTGTCGCAGAAGGTTATGAGGATTCAAAGAGATAATCCACATACAGTGGTACGACAGTTCCTGGCATGTCAGAAAAGTTCGATAAATGTTGGCCATTATTTTGTTACTAAGGGCGTAATACCCCTTGCCAAACTCATTTTACTTCAAAGACTAACTTTTCCTGGAACTAGAGCAGAGGGGGAACCATCCCACCACAGCCCACCCCAGAAAAGAAAAGACAAGTTCGTTGACAGCCATGTTATATGAGTGTTGCATACACTTAATGATGAATTATTCCCCAACCTAAAAATATCAGGTAATGGAAGTCACTCCGGGAGAACTAAAGATGAATTAAACTTTTGTAGAACTAATGTTTGTGTTTATTGAGTTTTCTGTGTACTTGGTACTTTAAGGCTTACAAATTTGTATTGGATATAGTCCCAGCTTTCATTTAGTCTAAAAATGGGGGAAATTCAGAATTTCAGCAATCAGAAGTAATCCTCGGAAAGTAGAATGTGAAAAATGCCAGAAAAGAGATAGATAAGAAGCTGTGGGAGTATAGAAGAGGAGAAATGTTTTTTTGGCTTAGTGTGAAATATGATTTCATTTCTGCTTTCAAAAAGATACTTTGTACATTGTACATACCTATTATATTTTGTTCAAAGAGTGAACAAATGTATGTTTAACAGATAGGATTCCTTGGTTTCTAGTAACAGAAACTCATTCATATTGAAGTATTATTGGAAAGAGAAACGAGAAAAAAAACTAAGCAGTTGGGCCACCCTTGGAGATGGGGATTCAGCAGCTGGAGCTCATAGACCAAATTCTTTGACTAGTGAATGACTGAGCGCCAACTGCTTTCTGTCCTTATATGTCTTACTGAAGATTTCAGATTTCTGTAAGAAGAGGTCTGGTTGCCTTAGCTGCTGTGTTGTGGGGGCGGGGGTTGGAGTATTATGATTGGCAACCCCACCAGAACCATATGAAATGTGGGAGAGTCAGTTTCCCAAAGGAAAGAGGGCTAAGGAAAGAAGTGATGCTGGGCGGAGAAAACCAATGGCTGTTTATTAGGGATATGTAGCCTTTATAGAGGGCTTACTATGAGTTAGGCACTATAGTACATTATTTATGTGGATTTTGATATCTCACAACAACTTTAGGAGGTCGATGCTGTTCTATCATACCAATTTTACAGAGGAGGAAACAGTCTTGTAGGGAATGATATGCTTAGCATTACAAAGCTAGGTTGTGGTAGAGTTGAGTGCGTTGTATCATCTCCTCTTTATCTTGTCCATTTGAATTATTTCCTGATCCATGTGCCACTTTTGTTTGTTCATAGGGGGTCGTCAAGCTTTGGTGTATGCGTTGGCCATTTCTGAAATCTTGAAGGAGCGCTGCATTGAGGAGGATCAAAGCAGCAGTCTTTGCCAATTAGGGCATGGACCGTTTGGGTTCCTTTAGCAGTAAGTACTGTGGAAGCAAGTCCCAGGTGAATATTAGTAGCAAACTGAAACGGAAGTTGATCAAAGAAGAAAAATAAGCACTTTGAAGTTAAAGCTCTGTGAATCTGATTCTAAGGGATTAAGAGTATCAAATCGAAATAAAATGAACCAATATTTATTGATTGCCCACTGAACACATGACACAAACATATTACTCTAGGTCTTATAAGAAAACTAAGCTCAGATGGACCAGGCATAATATGATTAACCTGCAGTTAGGCTTAAAAAAGCAGTTGGATTTTTCATTAGAACCAATAACGTATTTTAGATGCCTTGATAAGAGTCAGTGGTAGAAAAAAGGAAATGCCCCCTCCCCCCTTTTAGATGGAACTTGTGTTCTAAGAGTAAACCACAGTGTAATAATAATGCAGAGAGTGATGGTGTATGTGTGAAATAAATTCAGGCAGCCACAACTATGGAGAAAAAAATATATTGCTTTTTCTCTGATTCTAAAGATAAGACATTTGGCAGAAATAGAAATCTGTTGTTAGGTGTTAGTAGTACCCCAATGGGAAAAATCCGATAGGCACTTTTGGGTGGTGTTTCTTCTTCAGCAATTTCTTAAAAGGGCTTTAATTTATTCTCTCATCACACTCCCTCCATAAAGTTAGGACAGAATGGAGTCTTCAAACACATCTAGTTCAAATCTCTCATTTTACACATAGAGAAAGAACCTAAATGAATTGTCCCAATGCTGGGAATGTAAACTCATATATTTATTTATTTATTTATATTTATAAATAGACATACACACCTTTTTTTTTTTTTTTTTTTTTTTTTTGAGGAAGATTAGCCCTGAGCTAACATCCACTGCCAATCCGCCTCTTTTTTGCAGAGGAAGCCTGACCTTGCGCTAACATCCATTCCCAACTTCCTCTACTTTATATGTGGAATGCTTGCCACCGCATGACCTGACAAGTGGTGTGTAGGTCCACACCCGGGATCTGAACTGGCAAACCACAGGCCACCGAAGTTTACCATGCGAACTTAACAGCTGCGCCTCCAGGCCGGCCCCCATATTTTTTTTTTCAGTCATTTGCGAGTATATCATGGCCTTTTACCTCTAAGTACTTCAGTGCTTATTTCCTAAGAATAGGAATATTCTATTATATAACCTCAGAAAGTTATCAACTTTAGTAAATTCAACATGGATCAAATACTTTTATCTAACCTACCATCCGTATTCCAGTTTTGTCAGCTGTCTCAATAATGTCTTGGTGGTGGTGTTTTCTTTCTAGTACAGGATACAGTTAGAGGTCAGGTCTTAACATTAAGTTGCTCTTTCCCTTTAGTCTCCTTTAAACTGAAACGTCTCCACAGCCTTTGTCTTGAGTGACATTGACACTTTTGAAGAATATAGGCCCTTTCCCCTTCTTTTTCAAGATAGAGGTTTCTCATTTTGAGTTTGTCTGGTCTCCCTCCACCCCTCATTGGTGATGTTAATTTTGAAAACCCAGTCAAGGTGTCCGTTTGAGTTCTCCACTGGATAATTTCTATTTTTTCCCTTGGATATAATAAGCAACCCATAGGGAGACACTTTCAGGCCATAAAATATCTTACTCCTCATTAAAATTTCTCTCTAGGTTTAGCATCCATTGATGATTTTTGCCTGATCTAGTCTTTACTGTAATGGCTGCAAAATGATGATTTTTCCCCCAAATCCAGCACTCTTCACATTTGCTAGTTAGCGTTTAACATTCTACTGTAATCAAGGGACCTCCTGTCTCCCTTATTTGTTAGAAGTATGAACACATGAATTCCTATTTTTTCACTGGTTTATGCTTATTGAACTTAATTATTTCAGTTCTCAGATTGTCCGAGTTTGACCACTGTGGGTCCCTTCAAGCTGGCTCTTACATCTTTGTGACGTATCCCCCATGAGATTTTTGAGCATCTCCTTACTTTTTGGCATCTTACAAGTTCCAGGTGCATCCTGTACCTGCTCTGCCACAGCCCTGGAATCAGCACTTCTCTGAGGAACCCTGGTTCCTTTTGGAGGGAAATGACATTAGAGACCAAGATGTAGTCATTGCTTATTGCTGCTCGTGTGTCGTTGCCTCTTGGCCCTTTTGGCCCACAGAACTAGGAAATATATGTACATATATGCTATATACATACATACCAATATACATACATATTCATATATACATGCATATAGCCATACATATACTTTTTTTTAGAAATTGTGTCTTCACAGTAGTACCTCCAGTTCATCTTCATAGGCTTTTTGTTTGTTTGTTTTCCCCCATTTCTTGTTTGTATGTCCTTTCCTCAGTGCAAACCAGGCTCCCAACATCACATTTACTTATTTGCTCAGTCATCCAGAATTATTTCAGAATTGCTTTGTACATATCACTACATAAAACAGACCTGCTTCAATGAGTTCAGGATTTGTTTGCAAGTCTCCCCTGTATCACCCAAGACTGAAGGTAGATTGTTAAATATTCATAAGTTACCTGGATTGGTTCTTTTTTTTTTTTTTTCTTCTTCAGCGTGGTTATAGTATTCTTTTGAAATACGATTGGGTTTATCTGTTCCTTCTGCTTCCAATTTTCCCTTCTCACATTTACTGACTTAATTTTTTTATTTTGTAGAACATAAATGTACTTCCAAAAGTCAAAACCATACCAGAAGATTTATTTGGAGAATTGTCACCCCTTCCTGTATCTCTTCCACTCCATTCCATGCTCCCTCCCCCAGCCCTTTGCAGATGTCCAACTTTATTGTTTTCTAGTTTACGTGTCCTTTATTTCTTTTTGCAAAGATAAGCAAACATATATATATGTTTTTTAAAAATTTTCCTTAATTTCTTACAGGAAAGCCAGCATACTATGTATACTCTTTTGCACTTTGGTCTTTTTCACTTAATAGTAGTTCCTGGAAGTGTTATATTAGTTTATAGAGATTTTCTCATTCTTTTTTATAGTTGCATAGTACTCCATTGTGTGGGTACACCATGGTTCGTTCAACTACATTCCAACGCTTGGACATCTAGGTAGTATTTTGCAATTACAAATAATATTCGAATATGTTCCCATCAGCAATATATGAGACTAGCGATTTCCCCACAGCCTTACTAGGAAAGAAAATTCAAGCTTTTGAATTTTTGCCAGTCTGATGCATGAGAAGTTATATCTCAGTGTAAATTTCTCTCATTATGAGTGAAGTTGAATGTTTTTTTCATATGTTTAAGGGCTAATTTTATATCTTTTTTTCTAATTATCTCTTCATGTCTTTTGCAACAAAATTTTTGGTCTTTTTTTCTCTCAATTTTTAAAAGTTCTTTGTATATTAGGGATGTTAGCCCTTTGTCTCTGATATGTTTCCAAATATTTTCTTCCAGTTTATTTGCTTTTTTACTTTGCTTATGGTGTTTTTTGCCAAAAGAGTTTTTTGTTTATTTTGTTTATGCAGTCAATTTATTAGTCCTTTATTGTCTCTGGATTTTCTTTCTTTTTTTTTTTGGAGGAAGATTAGCCCTGAGCTAACTACTGCCAATCCTCTTCTTTTTGCTGAGGAAGACTGGCCCTGTGCTAACATCCATGCCCATCTTCCTCTACTTTATATGTGGGACGCCTACCGCAGCATGGCGTGCCAAGTAGTACCATGTCCAAACCCGGGATCCAAACTGGTGAACCACTGGCCGCCGAGAAGTGGAACGTGTGCAGTTAACCGCTGCGCCACCAGGCCAGCCCCTGTCTCTGGATTTTGTTTTTTGCGGAAGATTAGCCCTCAGCTAACATCTGCTGCCAGTCCTCCTCTTTTTGCTGACGAAGACTGGCCTTGAGCCAACATTCGTGCCCATCTTCCTCTACTTTATATGTGGGACGCCTACCACAGCATAGCTTGCCAAGCGGTGCCATGTCCGCACCCGGGATCCGAACCAGCAAATCCCAGGTTTCCGAAGCAGAGCCTGAGAACTTAACTGCTGTGCCACCAGGCCGGCCCCCGTCAGCATTGTTTATAATAGTGAAAAATTAGAAACAGTATAAATGCCCACCAGTAGGAAACGTTAGATTAGTTCTCAACCTTATGAGACCTAGTAATTTCTTTTTATTTATTTATCTTTTTTCGGGGGGGAAGATTAGCCCTGAGCTAACATCTGCTGCCAATCCTCCTCTTTTTGCTGAGGAAGACTGGCCCTGAGCCACCATCTGTGCCCGTCTTCCTCCACTTTATATGTGGGATGCCTACTATAGCATGGCTTGCCAATTGGTACCGTGTCCATACATGAGATCCGAAATGGTGAACTCCAGACCACCAAAGTGGAACGTGCAAATTTAACTGCTGCACCACTGGCCAGCCCCTTATATTTTTAAAGCCCCTTTTACTATTTGGAAATGAAATACACAGATAATATAATATATCTACACCCATGATTTAAAAAAATAATAATGCCATAACTATAATACAAAGGACAAATAAAAGCGAAGTAATTTATAATGAAGTAATGCAACTTATGATAAACTAATATGTATTTTCATATGTTTAGACGTGATTACAGTAGAAGACATAATGACTTAAGTAGTCAGATGCTTGCACCCATATGTTGAATCACTGTGCATCTTACAACTACAAATGCAGTGATTCATGTGTGTCGCATTGGTGACTCAGAGAAATTCCACAAGCTTGAACGACTCTTGGTAAAGTTCCGAATGAAACAAGGTGCAATCTCCTCTAGAAGTACGTGCCATTGCCTTCTTGGAAAATTCAATATATATTAAAACTATCAAAAAAACATTTTGTCTTATATGTAATATGGAATTAGGTTCTAGGTCATGTAATTATGAGCAGGTTTTTCACCTACTTGAATGTCTGGTGGGACATTTGAAAGTTGTGCAGGATGCAAGTGAGTTCTTTGTTGTATAAGAATGTCTTGAGTGTTGCAGGGTATCTGGCATTCCTGGTCCCTGCCTGCTAAATGCCAGTAGTGCTCCCGAGTCATTGTGGCAACAAAAAAGCATCTCCTCAGATTTCCAAAATGCCTTCCTAGGGGACAGTTGAAAATCATTAGGTTAGATAATTGATATAATAGAATATTATTCATCCATTAAAAAGAATGAGGAAGATCTATGTATACTGTCAGGAAAGATGTTGACAGTATATGAAGTGAAGTGAAAAAAACAGGCTACAAAACATCATATATACTGTCTTACTTTTGTTAAAACATATATACGTAGATAAACAAAGGCTGGAGATTGAAATGTTAATAGAGGATGACTTATACTTTATACTTTTATTCTCTAAAATTTTTTTTTTTTATTTAAAGGTTGGCACCTGAGCTGACAACTGTTGCCAATCTTCTGGGGGTTTTTTTCCTGCTTTTTCTCCCCAGATACCCCCAGTACATAGTTATATATTTTAGTTGTGGGTCCTTCTAGTTGTGGCAGGTGGGACGCCGCCTCAGCATGGCCTGACGAGCAATGCCATGTCCGCGCCCAGGATCAGAACCAGCGAAACCCTGGGCCGCCACTCGGCCATGGGGCCAGCCCCTAAAATTTTTAGAACTATAAATTGGATTACTTTTACAAAATAATTCTTAAGGGTTTAAAAGCTGTTTTAGTCAGTGGCTGATTTTTTTCCTGAGGAAAGAAAAACAAGCTTTTATCCTTAAATTAAAAAGATAGGAGGAAGAAGATAATTTGGGAAAAATTGGCATCTAGCACTTAATATAAAATAATTTTTGTTCTTCCATGTCAAAATTTAAAATGGGGCAAGTTGGGTAGTTGCTGTTCCATGTATTTATTTTGAAGCTATTGCTAGAAGGATTGTATTTCTTTCCCCTGTCATTTTCCTCCAGGTCTTCATTTAGAAACAAAAAAACAATAATCACCACTTGAAGGAGGGAAAGGTGCCTTGAAGAGTGTTCCTTGGACTTTAGGAAGGAAAATGCTATTACAGAATGTGAGAAATCCTGCCCCAGGCCTAACGGATTAAGTCCCTTCATCTACCTTCGAAGCTTGTGTTTCCTTACACTCCTGCTGTTCATCACAGGAGAACAAGTCTGCTAGGTTGCCCTGGCTCTGGAGAGGCAGAGTTTCGGACAACCAGGAAAACAAATATCTGCATTTTTATGACTTTAGAGAATTTGGATTCTACTCCTTGCCTTAATATTTCAGAGACAATGCTGTGATTCGAACTGGAGGAAGGTCTACTGTGTCCTCTGCTTACCAGGGGAGAAGGGAGGGGGCTTTCCTGGATAACCCAACTTAAATGTAAAGTAGGTATCCAAAGACATATGTTTAAAAGAGGTTGTTTTCCCCCAACTTTTTATTTTGAAAATTTTCAAACTTATAGAAAAGTTTAAAGAACTGCACAGTGATTACTTGTTGCCCACTACGTAGATTCAGCAATTGTTAACATTTTGTCAGATATGCTTAATCTATAAGTAGATATGTGTTGTGTAGATATGTGACATTTTTTTTCCCCTGGAAAAATAAGTTGCAGGTATTATAAAACTTTAGTTAGAAATTGTGTTTGTAAATTTCTCTGCAAGGCCAATATCCATTTAAATGCCTTTGAAGGGGCTGGCCCTGTGGCCGAGTGGTTAGGTTCGCCGTCTCCGCTGCAGGCGGCCCAGTGTTTCGTTGGTTCGAATCCTGGGTGCGCTCATGGCACTGCTCATCAAACCACGCTGAGGCAGCGTCCCACATGCCACAACTAGAAGGACCCACAATGAAGAATATACAACTATGTACTGGGGGGCTTTGGAGAGAAAAAGGAAAAAATAAAATCTTTAAAAAAATAAAAAATAAAAAAATAAATGCCTTTGAAGTAGTAGATACACTATAGGAAGGAACAAAGCTGCCCTGAAATAAAAAGGAACGTAATTTTTGTTTTTTATTTGGAATGAGTTCCTCTTATCTCCGTGAACTTAGTCATCTGCAGATTTTCACCTTCTTGCACTTAAGATAATCATAAGGTGTTTTGAAGCTAGTTTATTTTTCTTTTTGTTGCAGATGATCCCTCTGATAAGCCACCTTGCCGAGGCTGCTCCTCCTACCTCATGGAGCCCTATATCAAGTGTGCTGAATGTGGGCCACCTCCTTTTTTCCTCTGCTTACAGGTAACTCATTAAAGAGAGGCTTGCTTCTCCTAGCCTAGTTTTGTGGATAGAGTAAATTCAGAGATGACTATCAGTTGCTCAGAGGGACCATACCTTATTAAATCTGTTGCTTCCCGTCAATCTTCTATTACATGTTTTGCCAGTAAAATGTTGGGGAACAGAGCAGAAGGATGAGATAGACTGTTTAATATTCCACATCTATATATCAGCCTAATGCTTAACACTGTTCTTGCCAGTAGCTTTAGAGTATTGGGACTACTGGAAACAGAATTGGAGGATTATTCCTTTTGATAGCACCTATGACACTCTTTATTGTCTTTTTGAAGAATGATCTTTTGAGCAGGTGACAAACAAGGGAACAAACCATTTTGGTGGATGATGGCGGTAATAATAATACTAATTATAAGTGTCTACTCTGTGCCAGGCACTATTTTGAATACTTTACATGAATTAACCTTTAAATCATCACTACAACCCTGTGAAGTAAGTATGATTAGTATCCCCATTTCATAGAGGAAACTCAGGCAAAGAGAGGTTAAGTAATTTGCTAAAGGTCACACAGCAAATACCATATTTTATGGGATCCCAGACGCTGTTGATTATAAGAAGCATCCCAATTTCAGAAATGTAAAAATGGCTGATAGAAGTTGTAATATACTATTTATTTTAAGATGAATCCTCATTTCAGAATTTTAAAATAGGAAAAAATGGTATCTTACAATTGCTGAAATGTGATAAATATGGAGCCAGGGTTCACATTTAGGCAGTCTGATTCCAGGGCTTATGCTCTTATCAAAGAAGGAGTTGTCCTAGAAAAAAGTCTTTTTTTAAGGTTGTTTTTTCTCTAGGTGGGCCACTGAAAAGCTGGGATCGTGAATATAACCCCATCCTATTGTGGCTCCTCACAAGATTAAGTGAATTCTTAATAACTCATTACAAGTAGAATACCCCCAAATCATCTTCTGTCTTTTAAGAAAGGATTTTAAAAAGTAGCTTTTTGGTTAACTTAATTTTCCTTTGTTTTGCAGTGTTTCACTCGAGGATTTGAGTACAAGAAACATCAAAGTGATCATACTTACGAAATAATGGTAATGATGAAGTTGCAGGGAATTTCCATTCATTTTTCGAGTATTATACTGGGCATTAGTCTTTTTTTCTTCATCTCCAAGTCTCTGTTTCCCTTTTCTCTCCTCTTCTGAATTAGGTAATTATTATCCAGTAAGCTTTTTAAGGTTTTATGTATCTAACAAGGCATTTAAATCTAAAAATCATTTTATATACTCAGATTTTTGTTTCAAATTAGAAGGAATTTAAAAGAAGTACTTTTTGAGATTTAATGATGTAAGAGTAAGAGGTATGCTACTGTTTAGGTCCATTGATAAACAGAGAGTAAATGTGTTGTTGCTGTGTTTTGGCTAGTGGTATTTTTATGTGGTTCATGTGAGCAGTGGTGAAGTTTATGTCTGGCACTCCATCTCCCTGCCTTGGGGAAACTAGTTACCCCTGAGAGTTAAATTATAAAATGAACATAGAGTGAATGATGTAATACATAAAATCACTTCAAAGAGACAGAGTGGCTTATAGGCCAGAATAAAACTTGGCTGTAATTTGATTGATGTATTTGCCACCTCTAAAGAAGAAACGAGAGGTGGTTGTTGATAGTGTCCTTCCAACTCTAGCCAGAGGAATGGGCGCTTTAATAAATCAAAGTGAATATTTGATCTGCTTGGCAGTTAGAATTACCTTTGTCAGGATAGTTTTCTCAGTTATCAGAGCATAACTCCTAGTTTACCAAGTGGTTTTCTTATATTTGGCCTTCCGTGTAGTTTTTCTTACAGGAAAGAATGCTGGCTAGGCATCTGCTTGACAGTAATAATTTCACATTGTGGATTAGTCCATTGACACTTGTGTTAGTTTTCTATTGCTGCCATAAATTACCAAAAATTAAGTGGCTTCAGACAACACAAATTTATCATGTCACAATCCTGTAGGTCAGAAGACCATTAGGCCCAGCTGGTTTGCTCCAGGTCCCACAAGGCTGTAATGAAGGTGTTGGCCACCCTGAGCTTTTATCTGGAGACCCTAGGGGGATCTGCTTCCGGTCCACTTCCATTATCATTCGGGTTGTTGACAGAATTCACTTCTGCTACTACTGCGTGTAGGACTGGTGCTACTGTTTCCTTATTTGCTGTTGACCAGGGCTTGCTTTCAGCCTCTAGAGGCTCCTGGCCCCCTTTCTCCATATTCAAAGCCAGCAATGGCAGGGAGTCCTTGAGGGGTTATTGATGAAATGCTTGCAGTCTCTCTGACCTCCCTTTCTGCTTCATCTGTCCTTTGCTGAATCTTTCTGACTCTTCTGCCTCTCTTTTTTACTTTTAAAGGTCCATGTGATTACATTGGGCCCACCTGGATAATCCAGGATAATCTGTCTATTTTAACGTCAGTTGATTAGTATCTTAATCCCATCAACAAAGTCCCTTCACAGCAATGTCTAGTTAGTATTTGATTGAATAATCAGGGGGCAGGAATCTTGAGAGAAAAGGGGGACATCTTTAGAATTTCTGCCTACCACAGCACTGTAGTGTATCTACTTCAGTCTCTTAAAAGTTTAGAAAGGGGGCCGGTCCAGTGGTGCAGCGGTTAAGTTTGCACCTTCCGCTTCGGCAGCCTGGGGTTTGCCTGTTCGGATCCTGGGTGCAAACCTACACACTGCTTGTCAAGCCATGCTGTGGTAGGCATCCCACATATAAAAAGTAGAGGAAGATGGGCATGGATGTTAGCTCAGGCCCAGTCTTCCTCAGCAAAAAGAGGAGGATTGGTGGCAGATGTTAGCTCAGGGCTAATCTTCCTCAAAAAAAGAGAAAGTTTAGAAAAGGTGAATCATCATCTCTGAGTCTGACTATTTGTGGAGTCCTGTTTAAGATGAGTTTCTGGGCCTTTAATCCTGAGAGTCAGTTACTGGTCCATAATGAATTAAGCAAAGAAATGCTCCTTAGTAAGAGTTCTTGGCAGCCAACTGGCTAGCCTTCCCCTACCTCTTTCTAAACGCCTTCAGTCTTCTAAATAGTTTCTTCACTAATTATAAGACTTGGAATAGACTTTTTTATATTAGCCTGGGTTTTAGAGCAGTTATAGCTTCATAGCAAAATTGAGTAGAAAGGAGAGATTTTCCTTATTTCCTGACCTGACAAATGTATAGCCTCTCCCATTATCAACATCCCCCACCAGAGTGGCACATTTGTCATAGTTGATGAAGCTACACTGACACCTCATTATCACACAAAGTCCATAGTTCACATTTTAGAGTTCACTGTTAGTGTTGTACATTCTATGGGTTTGTATAAATATATAATGTCATGTATCCGCCATTATAGTGTAGGAGTTGTTTCATGGCCCTAAAAAGCCTCTGTGCTCTGCCTCTTCATCCCCCTACTCCCACCCCAAGCCCTGGCAACCACTGATCTTTTTTACAGTCTCCGTAGTTTTGCCTTTTGTAGAATGCCATATAGTTGGAATCATGTAGCCTTTTCAGATTGGCTTTTTTCACTTAGTGATATGTATTTAAGTTTCTTCCATATGTTTTCATAGCTTGATAGCTCATTTCTTTTTTGCACTGGATAATGTTCCATGATCTGTGTGTATCACAGTTTGTTTATCCATCCATCTACTGAAAGATGTCTTAGTTGCTTCCAAGTTTTGACAGTTATGAATAAAGTTGCTGTAAACATCCATGTGCAGGTTTTTGTGTGGAAAGGTTTTCAACTCCTTTGGGTTAAGACCAAGGAATGTGATTTCTGGATCACATGGTAAGAGTATGTTTCGTTTTGTAAGAAACTGACAAACTGTCTTCCAAAGTGGCTGTACCATTCATTCTGCATTCCCACCAGTGATGAATGCAAGTTCCTGTTGCTCCGCATCTTCACCAGCATTTGTTGTTGTCAGTGTTCTAGATTTTGTCTATTAGAATAGATATATAGTGGTATCTTGTTGTTTTAATTGGCATTTCTCTGGTAACTTGATGTGGATCATCCTTTCCTATAAATAAATTTTCCCCCTTTTGTTAGTTGCCAAATGACTGAAGGGTTGGGAGAGTGTGGTCAAAGTGGCTATGGCTTTGAGTTCATTTCACCAGGTTATCAGATCTTCAGAAAAGTGGTTTATTCTTTCCCAAATTCACACAAGAATGCTCAGAACCAGAATACAAATTTATTCATTTGAATTGTGAGAATAATTCCTTCAAGGATAATTCAGTATAAGTTGAGTAGATTGATGGTTATCCACTGTAGGAAAGCTGACCATGAGCTCTCTTTAGCTGTTCTGAGCACCATGCCTTCTGCATAATGGTGAAGGCACTGACTAAGTTTCATTCCACGTCTACTTAATTCTTCTGATTACATCATTCTTTTCTCATGTACTCAACACCCGTACAAACACATGTCGGAATTCTGTCCTTTACTTTGGGGAGCCTTTAGAGGTTACTAATACTCCTTTTTTTCTGCCAGTCTTATCTATTCCCAGACAAGGGAAAGAAGAATCTTTCTTGTGTAGGAATGATGATCAAATTTTGGCTTTTACACATGAAGCCACTAAAAACTTGATTTTTTTTTTTTTTGCATATGAAAACTTTAAATGGTTTTCAGTACTTTTGTCATCTCACAGTGCTGTATTTTTGGAAGTTACTCATGCTGTGGTGGGTGGTGCATTAATCAAGATTTCTGAGTTCTATGCCTATTTTTGTCTTATAATTCTTAGAACGTTGAACAAGTTAAGGCACCTTTTCTGCCACACCCTTTAACCAGTGATTCTTTTTTTTTTTGAGGGAGATTAGCCCTGAGCTAACATCTGCTGCCAATCCTCCTCTTTTTGCTGAGGAAGACTGGCCCTGAGCTAACATCCATGCCCATCTTCCCCTACTTTATATGTGGGGCGCCTACCACAGCATGGCTTGCCAATTGGTGCCGTGTCCGCACCCGGGATCCGAACCGGCGAACCCTGGGCCACCAAAGCAGAATGTGTGCACTTAACTGCTGTGCCACTGAGCCGACCCCATATACCAGTGATTATTAAACTTTAGTGCATCAGAATCACCTGGGGCTTCTTAAAATTATAAATTCCTAGACCCTGCTGTTAGAGATTCTGATTTAGTAGGGCTGAGATTGGGTTCGGGAATTGAATAACATTGATTCATCCTTAAGAAAAACTGCCTTATGCCCATTTATTTATTTTTTGGTATAGAAAGTCTTTCTCATTTATCTCACAGTAAAGTTGGTGAGGGCTAATTAATATTCCAAAATACAGTTTTTGAAATAACATAGGCTCTTCAACTATGAGTTGTCTTATTTAAGTATATTAATGGTACTTGCTAGATTGAGTGATGATTGTGAATTTAGCATAGACTGTGAAATTTCTCTCTTAGATCTCATAGTACCTCATGTGCTAGATGTATTCATAATATGTGCTCAGATAAAAATGTATTGCTTATTAGTATTGTAATCTCACAAATCATCACAGAGATTTTCTGTCATTAACAAAAGATGTAACAATTTCTGAATGCCTGTGTAATCTGAAGACCTTGTGTCACTTTTTTTTTTAATTTATAGAAAATTTTAGACATACACTAAAATAGAAGGAATGGTGCTTCAGTTATCTATTGCTACCTAACAGCTACCTCAAAACTTCTTGGTTTAAAGATATTTTTATTTTTCCTCTTTCTCCCCAAAGCCGCCTGGTACATAGTTGTGTATTTTTAGTTGTGGTTCCTTCTCGTTGTAGCATGTGGGAGGCCACCTCAGCATGGCTTGATGAGCGGTGCCATGTCCGCGCCCAGGATTCAAACTGGCGAAACCCTAGGCCGCTGAAGCAGAGCGTGCGAACTTAACCACTCAGCCACAGGGCCGGCCCCAACTTCTTGGTTTAAAATAACCATTTTATTATCTCCCACAGTTTTGTGGGTCAGGAATTCAGGTTGGGCACAGGGACAGTGGCTTTCGATTTCATGAGATGTGCTGGGGCTGGAAGTCCAAGGGCCTTTTTTCACACTCTTGGCACCTCAGGATGGCTTGAATTGATTGGAAGTTAGCTGGAACATCTTAACTGCCAGAGGCCCTGGTTCTTCTCCAGGTAGCCTTGAGACCTCTCCTTCATGTGGCTTCTCCACATGGTCTTTCCAGCAAAGAGGCTAGATTTCTTGCATGGTGGTTCAGGGCTCCCAAGAGCACAAAAGTGGAAGCTGCCAGGCCTTCTTAACCAAGTCACAGATGTAGCCCATATTGAATGGCAAGGGATTACACAGGATGTGAATTCTAGGAGTTCATTGGAGGCCACCATTGTAACCAGCTACCACACATAGTATAATGAATTGCCATATACCTGTCACTAGCTCTGAAAATTATCAACTCATAGCCTATCTTGTTTCATCTAACCTTCTATCTCTCCAGACTATTTTGAAGCAAATCTCTCAGACGTTATATCATTTCATCTGTAAATATATATATTTTTTAAGATTTTATTTTTCCTTTTTCTCTCAAAGCCCCCCAGTACATAGTTGTGTATTTTCAGTTGGGAGTCCTTCTAGTTGTGGCATGTGGGATGCCGCCTCAGCATGGCTTGATGAGCAGTGCCATGTCTGCGCCCAGGATTCGACCCAGCTAAACCCTGGGCGGCTGAAGCAGAGTGCACGAACTTAATCACTCGGCCATGGGGCTGGCCCCTCATGTGTAAATATTTTATTAGATCTCTCTCTAAAATTAATTCGAATCACTTTTCACATTTCCCTAATCATCTTGATGTGGATTAAGGCTGCCCCAGGTAGAGAAGCCCAAGGTGACCTGGCCTACATGCCAAACTATATGACGCGGTGGATTTTTATGGTATGAATTAGGGCTGCCCCAGGGAGAGAAGCCCAGGGCATCCTCACCTACATGCCGATCTATTTGACCAGATTCGTGTCTAAAGTTATATGACCGCACAATAACTGGACCCCATCTGCACTGAAATCATTTAATGACTTTTTACATCATCTTTTCTTTTCCCAGTAAAAATAAGTCACATACCCATGCCTTATAAAATTAACCCTAACCCTCAACTCAGGGCAGCAGCAGGAGCTCTGACTGCCCATGGGTCCTGTCCCCATGCTATTCCATACTATTCTCTAAATAAAAGAGCACTACTGCCAGACCTTGAGGGTCCAAGAAATCTTTCTTTCGACTCTTCGGCTCGCCGTCCCCGCATCAATCTCATGAAAGCTTTTTTAAAAATCTCTGCTCCCTTCTCACCCTTGAGACAATCACTCTTCTGATTTTTATCAACATAGATCACTTTTGCACATTCTAGAACTGCATATATATGGATTCATACTGTATGTACTCTGGTTTGTTTTTCTCATTCAGCATGTTTTTGAGATTTATTCATGTTTGTTCATAGTAGTTCATTCCTTTTGTTACTGAGTAATATTCCATGGTATGAATATAACGCAGTTTATTTATCCTTTCTCCTGTTGATGGACAGCTGGGCTTTGCCTAGTTTTTGGCTATTATGAATAAAGCTGCTATGAACATTCTCGTATGAGGCTTTCTGGTAGACATATATTTTCATTTTTCTTGGATAAATAGTAGTGGAATTGCTCAGTCATAGAATACATAATTATTTAACTTTTAAGAAACTGTCAGAAAGTTTCCTAATTAGATTGTATCATTTTACACCTCCCCAGCAATGTATGAGAGTTCTGATTGCTTCAGATGCTTGTCAATTTTTGATAGTTTCTTCATTTTAGCTGTTCTAATGGGTATCCTGAGTGTGTAGTGGTATCATAAAACTTTTTTTCTTTAAATTTTATAGTTTGTTCTAATTGGGATACAGATAACATCCAAACATTCCAATGGTTGCCTCTTATGTATTTTCTATTCTGTGAGTTCTCCCTCCCTCTCCCTTCCTCCCTTTCCTCTCTCTTTCTCTCATTTCTTATAGTTTGATTTTTAAAAACCTAGGTAGTTTGTCTTACAGATCTTAGTACAGTCTGGATTTTGCTGATTTACATGTTCCTTGGTCTTCTGTGTTTCCTATAAATTGGTAGTTACATATAGTGGCTACATCAGATTCATTTATGATCATTGTTTAGGTCTGTTCATCAGGGATTGCAAAATAGTTATCTTTTAATTATATCACTCCTTTTAATTTATGAGTTAAAATAATTCTATAAAAAGAAACTTTTCATCCTTATTTTTGTGGCCACCCTGTGGTAAAGTTTGTACAGGAAAGGCGGGATAAATACCTGGTTATTTCCCTTTATTTACTAGTTATGAAAATATGAGTTGGTTCCCTGGCATCCTCTAGATGTTTATAGTTTTTGATGTGTTTCAGTCCTTTGCAGTTATTATACTTATTAATACTCAAAATGTTCCATTTTTGGTTTGTGGGGGCCTCTATAAGTTGGCCTCTGAATCCTTTTGACATGACCCTTACAGTCTTTAGAGAGCTTCTTTGCTTTCCAGTATGACAAAATGTTCCAGTCTCGTCTTGTGCATTTCCTGACCCAAACCTGGAATCAGCTTTTCCTTCAAGGAGTCTTGGTTCCTTTAGTGGGAAATAGTATTTAGAGACTGCATACTGGCTGCTAGAAGTGTTCATTGCTACTGGACTGGTCATTATTTCCAGACCTTTTTATTGAACAGTTTTAGGAAATTATTCTTTTAAGACAAAATACATCCTGAGTTCATACTGAAACTTTCAATTCAAATACAAGGCTACAAGGTTTTTACATAATCTCGTAGATCTTACTTCTATATCTTTTTTTTCCCAAGCCAAAAATCTCACTGCCCAGTGATGCCAACACACTTACTTACTTGCTTTACCCCATAACACATCCACATAGCATAATCTCAGAATCACTATGCTAACACTACTGAAAACAATTTAAGATCTTTTTTTGGCAGTTCCTTTTACTTTTAAGGTATATTCCGCTAGTGATATATAGTCAGATTACTGTGTTTTAAAGTCACTTGGGATAGCTTCTTTCTGTGTGATTATGCCTTAAAATTAATTTGTGGGTTCATTTGGTACTTTTGCATTTGATTCTTATGATCTTGAAATTTAATAATTAATGTACAGTATTTATGTATTCAAAGTCAAATCTACAAAATAAGAAATATCCAAAGAGGTCTGGCTTCTATCCCTGTCCTTTTTAAACTATTTTTTCCCTCCCTCCCCCATAGGTAACCTTTTTTTTTTAATGTATGGTTTATTCTTCCATTTTAAAAAACGCAAATACACACATTTGTATTCGCCTCTTTCTTAGCTAAATGGGAACATACTATAATGTTTATCTCTACTTTTGTGATATGTTTAAAAATATATATATATTTCTGCATGAGTTACATGGCATTTATGGCTGATAATATTTATTGGAGACTCTTGTAGTTAATGGTAGAAATAGGAATGGGAGTAGGACAATAGGAGTACGAGTGGGACAACTAATTAGAATGTACTTTAGGTACTTCTCAATACTATGAAAATGATGGTCATTTGACTATAAATTAGTATTACATTTGAGGTTGCTGGGTTCCATTTCTATACCTGTTCTTAGGCAAAATTTTTTCCTCATTAGACCTCAGATTTTCCTGTTCTTGACCCCAGCTGGACTGCTCAAGAAGAAATGGCCCTTTTAGAAGCTGTGATGGACTGTGGCTTTGGAAATTGGTAAGAGCTTGGTGTTAAAGGTTGTCCTGCCTTAGTGGGCTCAGAGAATGTGCTGTTGAAGTGTAAAGGAGGAGCCTTAGAAAGAGGAGTCTGGGGGCCATGTGTGGCTTTTCTGTTGCCCTGTGACTTAGAGACAAGTCCTTTTCCCCTCTGCAGATTATTTTCCTGGGCTGAAATGCCTCGCAGGGCTGTGGGTTGTTTAGTGATTCATGACTGGGCAGCTCTAAAAGGCCACTTTGGATTTATCAACATGGAGAAGGTTGGTTATTCTTTTCTGAAAGGTGGGGAAGTTTAGACTTACTAGTCGTTGCCCCTGTCTGATTTTATGAATTTTTCTTGGCTATAGATGCCCTCGTCATTTAAGTGAGTCAGATGTTAGGGAGCTGGCCATAGCTTACCTGAGATTCCAGTTTGACAGACTTCCTATTTGCATTCCCTGTTTTCAGCTTGTGGATTCCTGCCTTAGTCCAAGCTTGGCAGAATTAAACAGTACTCATTGCTGTTACCCTAGGAGGCAACACCACTTAATACTAATAACAGCACTTTTGTTTTTGCCTTTTGGGAGTACTTTCACACTGATGATTTAATTTTGTGAACTCCACAGCAGAGGCATTATTAAATATATTTTGTTCACAAAGAATCTGAAGGGAGTTAAAATGATCTCTCATGATCACATAGCTTATTAGTGAAGGGCTCTTAACTAGGTCTTCCCTGTCCTGACTTTCTAGTATATACAGTCTATCCGGATATTAATAACATGTACTGTGCTGCCTCTCTTATGTCCAGGCCCTGAAGGAGACTTGAGTTTAGTTCACATTTTGCTTGTATTCATTCGTTCAGCATTTATTAAGCATCAAACTATTGTGTGCTATGGGGAATGCCAAAAAAGATAGAAAAATTGATCACCCGTGAGGAGCTTGCTAGTCGTCTTTGGCTTTTTTGGTTTTTCATTTTTTGCTTTCCATTCTAATGCTCTAAAATGGGCTAATCCTCCCTGTCCCCCTTCCCTCTTAACAAAGACCACAAAACAGACTATTATTTTTCTATCTACTGTGGGTGAGGTGCTAAGCTTGTTGGTGAGGGTGCTAGAATTATGATATGTATCCTACCTTCAAGAAGCTTATAGTCTAGTAGGGGAATCAAAATATACAGAGAGATGATCGAAGTACAAAGCAGAGCATAGTAATGCTTTAGAAGAAGGACAGATGAAGTACTATGAAAGAGAGAGGTTGAGAAGGGACTTGGAGGGGTTTCACCTCTACCTCTCTACCATATGGGCTAGGAGTCGGGTCTCGAGTACAAGTTCTGGCTTTGTGAGTTATGTGCTTTGCGTTCTTGAGCAAGTTTCTTCTTTTTTTTTTTTTTAGATTTTATTTTTTCCTTTTTCTCCCCAAAGCCCCCCAGTACATAGTTGTATATTCTTCGTTGTGGGTCCTTCTAGTTGTAGCATGTGGGACGCTGCCTCAGCGTGGTTTGATGAGCAGTGCCGTGTCCGTGCCCAGGATTCGAACCAACGAAACACTGGGCCGCCTGCAGCGGAGCGCACAGACTTAACCACTCGGCCACGGGGCCAGCCCCATGAGCAAGTTTCTTAGTCTCTTTGGGCCTGATTATTTTATCTGTGAAATCAAGATAGGAAATACACCACATGGTTAATACTAGGATTAACTTAAATTATGTTATGAATGTTTGTAGTTTAGTACTTGGCCTATTGCAGGAACTCCAGTAAAGAAACACTTGTTCATGTGAAGTGTTTTGTAAACTATAAGACACGCAAATATAAAACTATACTTATGTACATTTTGAATGTTCTGAAGTGGCTTACTATTTATAGCAATTCTTTTCCTGGGGAGGGAAATTTACAGATTTGCTAGTGATCCTCCTTGGTGGAAAGGAAAGGGCTTTTTAGATATTGCTTCTATATCTTGGAACAGCAAGATTTGGAACATCAGATTATATCAATGCTAGACTTATATTTGTGTCATTGTTCTTTTGACGTCTCCATGATAATCAGTTTGGAAGTATCAAATTCCAGACATTATGTGGACAGGACTTGACATATGGAAAGAACAAACGATGCTTTGACCATTGTTTATAAATGAAAGCACTACTTCCTTCTCTTTTTTCCTCACACTCCTATAGGCAGGATGTAGCCAATCAGATGTGCACCAAGACAAAGGAAGAGTGTGAGAAGCACTATATGAAGCATTTCATCAATAACCCTCTGTTTGCATCTACCCTGTTGAATCTGAAACAAGCAGAGGAGGCAAAAACTGCTGACACAGCCATTCCATTTCACTGTAAGTTCCTTCCTGTGTTGGTAAGAGATACTTAGTGCATCCTTGGGCCCTGTTGCTGTAGTAGATAAACAGTAGTTTGGTGATCTGGACAGCTAAAGAGCTTATGGGAGTTAGGAGGAGTTGGCATGGCAGTTATTGAGAGTCAGGGCCATAATGGGGCAAAAAGATAATGTATTTCAGAGGTCAGTTCTATAATGGATATCAGGATGCCTGGATCAAGTGTGTAGTTCCACCTACTCTGAGGCTCTTGAACATATCAGTTAACTTTAAGCTTGCTTCCTTGGGACGAGATGTCCAAAATGAACCAAGCTTTCCATGCTCTTGTGAGTACAAGCCTTTTTATAACCCCTTTGGAGGGTTTCTGACTGTAGATGTTAGTTATTTAAGAGAGTGCAGTATTGGACTTGGTGTTAATCATCCCAGTATTAAGTCCAAGAAGCAATTTGTTATTTTTGTTCACTTGGTTGTGGTAGTAATAGCAAGCCTTTTTTTTACATCTTATGTGGCTGAGGGACTCATGGGTCTTCTAACAAAACATAATGAGAACCATGATGAATTATAAATGACATCGCTCGTGAATGACTCCCAGAGCACAAGTAATGAGATATGAATGTTTTCCTCCCCCACCCCATTCCTCACATTCTCTAGAAACAGTTTCACTAAATCAAAGCCTGATGATACCTCCTATCTGAGTAGCACTTTGGATGTTAGTGCCTTGTTCTCAAATCAGTTAGATCATTTCTTCCTCATAGCCACCCGGTGAGACAGGCAGAGCAAGTGCTTTGTTTTAAACACGAGGAAGCTGAGATTCAGAAAGGTTAAGTAATTTGTTCAAGGTGATGGGACTAGTGGATGTTAGAACTGGAACTCAATTCCAGCTAACTTTCAATTCCAGTGTTTTTTTTGCCTCTCAGTTAGGTGATATTTGTAAGTTGAGGTTGGTCCTAAGGGGTCAGGGAGCTGAAACAGACAGGGTTATGTTATCACAGAGAGGTACTTATGTTCTGTAATATTAATGGAAGGATCCTTGGTTTTCTCTCATGTTAGAAAAGCAAAAATCAGAGGAAATTTCTCCATATTTGTTTAGAAGATTCCCAAAGTCTTAGTATCCTTTTAAAGAAATCAATGTGTTTCCATAATACTTTATCTTTTTCACTTTTCCATTTATAAAAATCTTTTGAATTTTATTTATTCTCTCAGACACAGTCTTTCTCCAAACAAAAATATTTCAGAGTATAAATGAGAGCTATTTCTGTGTCAGTTTTTTCATGCTCATATTTTATTAAGTAACTAAGAAAAACCCTAAATTCTTCCAGCTGCAGATGACCCTCCCCGACCTACCTTCGACTCCTTGCTTTCTCGGGACATGGCAGGATACATGCCAGCTCGAGCAGATTTCATTGAGGTAGGAGAAACTTGTTTTTGTTTTGGATATTTCTCTTACTCATAGATTCCGTACCCCTAAAAAGAGATTTTCAAAGCACTATAATTTGGAGGGCCTTATTTAGGCAGCTACATTTTCTTCTATTTGAGTACCTTTTCTCATTTGTAAACATTTTCACGTGGAGAATAGTAAAAGTTCTTCAGACCAAGAACCTATTTCTTAAGTTGCGTTGGTGTTGGTTCCCACTTCGTTAGTAGGTCTGGGGTTTCTGTAGTCTGGTTCACATGCCACACCTTGGGAGTTTCAAGGTTGTACTATATCGGGGGTTGGCAGACTTTTTCTATTAAGGGCCAGGTAGTAAATGTTTTATGTTTTGTAGACCATAAAGTCTCCGTTGCAACTAAACTTTGTCATTACTGTGCAAAAGCAGCATAGGTAATACATAAACAGGTGAGGATGCCTGTGCTTCGATAAAACTTTATTTACAAAAACAGGCAGGAGACTGAATTTAGTCCATAGGCTGTAGTTTGCTGCCCCCCATACTGTAGTCACAGGTATATAAAGAATGATGAATCTGTATAAAAGCTGTGTTCCTCATTCAGCCATGGAGTTAAAAGCCATGCGACTAGTCGCAAGTATCGATTTATCATCTAATCCACAATTACTGTGCTTCTGAAGGTAATTTGAATGTTTAGCAAACTACAAATAATTTTGCTAGCCACGCCCAGGTCAACATTTTGTTCATGGCAGCTGACATTGTAGAGTTACCCCATGGACACGATGCAGACGGTTTTTTTACCTAAATACTTGAAGGCCTAGTCAGAGTTAGATTTTCTTGGGTTGCATTATATGAACAGATAACTTTTAATTTTTAGAACAATAGGTTTTGCTTCATTCCTAGACTCATAACTTACTCCTTTTTTGCTGTCATTACTGCCTGAAAGCCTCTGAGACTTTTCCCATGACTTATTTGTGGCAGTATCCTGGCCTTGTACCCCATTCAGTACTTTTGACAAGTGTTTTTGTATTTTCTGTTTGCTTCTAAAGCATGGCTACTATAAAGGCATTACTCAAAGCTGATGGGTTTGGGGTGGGAATTTTTTTTCCCCTAACAGGAATTTGACAATTATGCAGAATGGGACTTGAGAGACATCGATTTTGTTGAAGATGACTCGGACATTTTACATGGTAACATTTTATTTTAGCAAATGTTTTTATTGAGTGCAAACTGTGTGATGACACTGTGTTGGGTACTAGGAATATAGGATGAATAAAACATGTCCCTTGCCCTTATGGGACTCAAAATCTAGTGGTTAAGTTGCTGAACTTACACTGTTGTTGGGTTTTGACTACAATGAAAAATAACATTTGTGATGATGGTGAGAATGTTGATCACGTAATGGTAGTTGGCAATATCCCATCCCTCGGACTGTGTGATCTTTCTCTTGACCAAGGTAAGCCTACACTGAGGTAATTGGTTAAATGGCCCTCACTACCTCCTTAGAAGAAAGGGAATCAGTGTGAAGACCTTGGGACTTTAGCAACTGCTGATACTAGATGTTCACTATAATTTGTTACCCTGAATTTCCCATAGCAGGGAAAAAGAATGGAAGTTCTTCAAGGGTTTTTGGAGCAAGATTGGGATTTTCTTATTTTTCAGAACTGTTGAATTTTTAGCACTTCTGAATTCTCATCTAAATTTAGCCCTGTAGGGATTTATGTCAATTCTTTTGTTATAATGTAATTGGTTAATGCCAACAGGGCTCTTCAAGTGGACAGTTCGACTTTCATTGAATCTCTTTTTTTCCTGTCTTTCCATTTTCAGTGAACTACGTATTTAAAATGATCCCCAGTCTTCTTTCATTTTAGTCCATAATTGAATATGATGCAGTAGATGAATAATGCTCCCTTGCATTCCATATTCCCCAAACAGCATCTTCATTGTTTCTCTTAAATCTTTATCCCAGGCAGGAAAGGCAAGTGGAATCCTTCTTGAATTATAAATCAATTTTTCATGTTGTGTTAATTGGTACTTTGTCACTAGAAGGGGAATTTGATTCTTCTCTCTAGAGAAGCTCTGTCTAGGTATTCATTACATCAGAACTGGGACCAAGAAAGAGTCATAAAAGTTTTACCTTCAGAATTTTTTCTCTACGTGTATCTTGAGCCATTTTCTTTGCAAAATTTCATTCCTCTTATCTTCTCCCACACAGCTTTAAGGAAAGTCAAAGTGACGCAGGTTGAACTAAAAGAGGAAAGCTTGAAAGCAAACTACTTTAGCATTCACTAGATCTATTGTATTTGTTCAGTCTTCCATGTCAATCTCTTCTTTTCAACCCCGGTTATCATCTTTTCTCACCTCTCTGTTGTTCCCTTGAAGGTAGTGTGCAGTTGGCTGTTCAGTATTTCTTCTCAGACACACCAGTTTTAATTAAAATGGTATTGTTTCCTGGCTTGTGTCCTTCTTATCCAGAATGCAAAAAAAGCAGCTTCACAAATATCCTTTTAGATACTGTTAATAAGTGCCGAACTTTTAAAAGTCAGAATGTAGTGTCAGTAATGGCTCGACCATGTAAGGGACTTGCTGAATCACTTCTTTAGGCCCTAATCCAAGGTCTTCATTCTTAAGCCTCAACATTATTAAGAAAACTGTAGTAATGGTTCGTACTTCATTTCACGCTTCATTCTTTGTAGATGCAGGATTTCTTCTGGTACATTTGTGGTCCTTTAAGTGGTGGCAAAAGGAAAAAAATCAGAAAGAAGCAGTTGACTGATTAGCAATTTTTATTTCAGTTACCATTTCAAACCTATAATGACTTTAGTTATTTGTGCTCTTCTTACGATTTCTACAACCTTGTAAGTCATTTGATTCTAGTTTATTTGAACTAGAACTGAAGTGTCAGTTATTGATTGTTATACGTAAGTAGCTTTAATAGAATGTAAGTAATAATCCTTCTCTCGCCTTTCCCTTCCTGTCTAGTAGCAAACTGTAAGATGTTTAGATGGGTGCTTTTTAAAAGGTGTAATGTTTTAAAGAGATTTGGCAGCACTAGATTTCAAAGGGATGACTTGCTGGTGCCACAAAGGGGATGTTTTGTTTATGGCTGTGAGTTCTTATATAGCTCCTCTGGTTGCATGACCTACTGTCCACTGGGGCATATTGCCCCTGACCTGAGCAGTTTCTCCCAGAGCACTTAGTGAAGGGGATTAAGATCCCAAGGAGACTCAGGAAGGAATGAGAAGGAGTTTCCTAAGCACACCTAGAACAGAGAGAGGGCATGTATTTTATGCAAAACAGGACGCTGATTCAACCTCAGGCTTGCTTCTGACTCACTGTGTCATCTTGGGCAAGTCCTTGGAATCTTGCTTGCTGTTTCTTTGTGTCCCGTGCCATAAAGAAGGGATAACACTGGTTAGTCAGAGAGTGTGAATGTCTCTAATGAAAGATGGTACATAATTCAGATTGGTGTTATTACCATTCCATTATACCATCATACTCTTAATATTACTAAGCATTAATAACATTCCTTTTATGTTCCCTCATTTATGGTGAGGTTCCCTCACTTATGCTACTAGAAGGAAGCAAACTGTTTGGCTGGGTTCTCTATTCTATCCTAGGACATCTAGAAGATCGGCTGATGCCACCAACCCTTTTTCCTCACCCAAAGACTTTTGCTATGATTCACGGAATTTGTCTAATAAAATGGGTTTGGATGGTAATTATAGAAGCCTGGGACACAATGGAGGGATAATTAATTGCATTCTAACCATACCAGAAGGCTTTCAGAATGGGCTCAAAAAGGATACTGCAAGTGAAACAGTGCCTGAGGAAGAAAATAAGGAAGTTCTGGGATCCCATATAATCCTCATATGTTATTGAAATTGCAGAAATTATTGGTTCATAAAGAGATTCAGAAGACTCATAACCTGGCACTCTCCTGTGTCATGGTATGTTGTGGGATCTCAGTGCAGATGCATAGTGTAGTTCTCTTTTCCTGAGGAGACATCACTTCCCAACTACTTTTGTTTGGGAAAATCTCTTCTAAATTTGTGGATTCCTCTTTCCCAGAGTTTCATGGGTTCTAAAACCCTGGGTGCAGCACCTTCCCATCATTGCCGTCCCATAACCCAGGCAAGCAGGAGGCATTATGAGCTTCTTCCTATATGTTGGGTCTGTGTTTTCAGAGCTTTTCAGGGTAGCACAGTGAAACAGTTTACTCTCCCTCTGTTTGGAAAGCTAATTTCAGCAAAATTTCTTGGCCAGGCATGGATACTCCCCCTTTAAAAATTTTCTTTAGGGGCTGGCCCTATGGCCAGTTGGTTAAGTTTTGCGTGATCCGCTTCGGAGGCCCAGGGTTTCGCCGGTTCGGATCCTGGGCTCAGACACGGCACCGCTCATCAGGCCACGTTGAGGTGGCATCCCACATGCCACAACTAGAGGGACCCACAACTAGAATATGCAACTATGGACTGGGGGGATTTGGGGAGAAAAAGCAGGAGAAAAAAAAACGATTGGCAACAATTGTTAGCTCAGGTGCCAATCTGTAAAAAATAAATAAATAAAAATAAAGTTTTTTAAATTTTTTAAAATTTTTATTTCTTTGGCCCATATTGTCAGCCTGTAGATCCTTTAACAGTTTAGTAGGTCAGAGGTCCACTTGCCTACCTGTTGGCAATGCCCTTCCCTTTATAGTGATTTGGCTGTATTCTGCTTTGGAAATTTTAGACATAAATGTTATTAATAATAGCTAATGGGGCTAGCCCAGTGGCTCAGTGGTTAAGTTCGCACGTTCTGCTTCGGCGGCCCAGGGTTCACTGGTCCAGATCCAGGGTGCGGACGTGGCACAGCTTGGCAAGCCATGCTGTGGCAGGTGTCCCATGTATAAAGTAGAGTAAGATGGGCATGGATGTTAGCTCAGGGCCAGTCTTCCTCAGCAAAAAGAGGAGGATTGGCAGCAGATGTTAGCTCAGGGCTGATCTGCCTCAAAAAAATGATAATAGTAAAATAATAGCTAATACATATAGCACTTACTGTTTGCCAGGTACCGTTCTAAGCCCTTCACACATGTGAATTCATTTAATCCTCACAAAACTCTGTGAATTGGGCCTTATTATTATTATCTCCATTTTATAAATGAAGAAATTGAGGAATGGAAATATCAAGTAACTTGCCTGAGGTCGTGTAACCTGCGAGTGGCAGAACCATCTCCAGAGTCTGTGCTCTTAATACTGTGCTGCACTTACTGTCTTTACAACCTTGAATTTTTGTTGCTTTCTGTTTGTGTGAGTGTGAGATTTCACATTGGTTGTCTTCAGTAGCTTAACCACATTCCTGAGAAGTAGGAGTGATATTTTCCCATTTTACATTCAGGGAAATGCCCAAAGGAGTTAAGTAACTTGCCTAAGGCTTCTTACTTAACTTAGGCAAAGTTGCTGACTTTAACCATTAGGTCACATAGTCTTCTTTCCTTCACAGAACTAATTGTGTACATCTTAACCAAAAATTTAGGGGGGAAATGACTTAAACCGCTTTGCTTCTGGGGAATACCTGAGTCACAGGTTTGTACTTGTGTGGTTGCAATTGGGATTTTGATTGACTTCCCTGCGTTTAAGGCTTCTGAGTTGGTTTTCTTGCCAAGCAAGCAGTAAGTGCCTTCTGTCAGGAAAACAGAAACATGTTGCCAGCTATTTTGAACAATGTTAGAAATACATTGCAGTGGGAAGGAGCTGCCTCTGACTTCTGCCCACTTCTTGAAATATTTTAAGGCCAGCCGTTTGAAACTTTCTCAGTCCCCAGTGTAATCACAGGGAGACTGTTCTTCCTTCAAAGCTGAGATTTCAGAGACCTTGCATCAGTGGATAGGTTATGGGTGGTTTTAGTTTGTTTGCTTTTAGTGATCTCTGGTTCTTTGTTTGTCCGCTTTACTGGAACCTCCAGTCACTTTAAGTAGGATGTGAACCGATGATTCTCATTCTTTCAGTGTCTGTCTTCTCATTTCTATTCTGCCTGCTGTACTGTGGTCCTCCCTGGGCTATTCGTGCAGTTAAGATGTTATAATCAGTTGCTGCTATCTCAGTGTGCTTTATAAGGAAAAGACATCACTTCAAGTATGAATTTTTCTCTGGGAGAGTTCTAGCTCTCCTCCCCTTGTTTCTATGTGTTCCTTTCCTTCTCTTTGTTCTCCAGAGCCAGTTGTGCAAGTTTAAACTACTGAAATGATCAAGCAATAAAGCCAATCATCAGCAGTATTTATTTATAGATTTTTTTTTTTTTTGGTAACACAGTCTCTTTGCTTTTTTTCTGTTTAATTAAGTCATTCCCACACAATCTCAGGAAACAACATCGTAAGGTAATGTTTTAGAAAAATTATAGAAATGTTTTGTGAAAATTAGCAATAATTTCCACTGGATCTTCAGGCAGTCTCTTTCCTGTTGACCTCATCTTGTTATTGGGTGGATATACGAGATAAGGTGCGTGAAGAGCCTGGAACGTGATAAATTCTCAGTGTATGTTAGCTATTTGCTTAACTATTTTCTTTTCTTCTCTTTCTCCCTTGAACTGTTGATATCTGATTCTATTTGTCGTAAGAAGTAGAGTTAGAGTTCACTATAAAACTTGTATTTGGTTATACTGCTTGTCGGAGACACATCCTCTCCTCCCTGTTCCTACTGCCTCTTCCACCACACAGGCGTGTAAAGTGCATCTCCACCAGCATAGTGTTCTAAAGCCTGTCATTCCACAGCAGTTGTGTTAGAAGACAGTGGCAAGGCCTGGGGCATTCTATGGTACCTGGGCTTTTATATGGAACAACCTTATAAATCAAGAAAGAGTTCGTTTGTAGAAAGAATTCTGCTACCTAAAAACAATGCTTTGAAAACCATTGCCTTAAATCTTGGACCTGATATTATTGAATTATTTTTGGTTTGTGAGCAGTTATGAGGAAAAATGAAACAATGTTTAAAATTTTGAACTTGTTAGAAACAAACAAATCCATGGTAGTTAATACTTTTTTATTTTTATACTTAAACTTTAAAAAATACTGCATTCACTCACTTATTGAGGTCATTCACCTGGAACTTATGTTATTTTTATCTCAGACCCAAGGAAGAATGGCCTGAATAGAGTATTCCTGGTTATTTCCCAGTGATTGAATTTACATATGTAAATAGTGCATCTGCTTATAGCCCAGCATGTTAGATTTTGGTGTTTCTTCCTTCTAATCTGAGACTACCCTGAGGGCAAGTAGCAGTGAGATGCACAGTAATGAGTCAGGATGGAGTATCCAGAATTTATTTCTATCATCTTGCTGGGGCTACCATATTGACAGCGCATCAGGATTGTACATTGTTCATCTTCTGTTTGCTCTCATATAGTGAAAGAAATTGATGATTCTGTTGAGCCATTGTGTTCTGTTCTCTTACTTGATTGATTCAATTTTTTTCCTACCCTAAAATCTAGTTACAGCAGAAGTGTGTGTTTCACACTGTTCCGTGGAGGTACCCTCAAGGACTATGACTGGGAAAGATAGCTGTAGATGGAGTAGGGAGAAGCGAGAGGGTCAGCTAGAGCAGATCTAACTTACCTGTTCCAAATAAGAATTTATTTGAAAACAAGGTTTAAAAGTTATCCTAGTAGAACATAGCAATCTGTGCTGACTCATTGCCCCCTGGGCTAACCTTGAACTTGTGTCTCATGTTCTTTGGATCAGCAATGAGATTGTATTGCTGTTTTTGTTTATCAGTATTACAGAGGCTCTAGGCTGTATTTTGGAATGAAACTTACTATCCTGGAAGAAGTGATTGTCAAACACAACTAAATTCTTTGCTGCAAAGGCTAGTGTGTTATTAGAAATTGTATTACCTAACAGTTGAATAATGTATTTTAGTTTTTCAAAGGACAAATGTCAATTCAGTATGTTGTGCTCTAGAGCCTCGTTCTTCTGTGACTACTTTCAGTAATTGAAATAAAACAAAACCTACCAAACTCTCAACTTATACAAAATTTAAGGAGATAACAAGTTATTAAGATAGTTCCAGGGGCCAGCCTCGTGGCCAAGTGGTTAAGTTCATGCACACCGCTTCAGCGGCCCAGGGTTTCACCAGTTCAGATCCTGGGCCATGGACATGACACCACTCATCAGGCCATGCTGAGGCAGCATTCCACATGCCATAACTAGAAGGACCCACAACTAAAATATGCAACTATGTACTGGGGGGATTTGGGGAGAAAAAAAAGAAAGTTCCAGAATCTACTGAAATCATTTTTTTTCTTTTTTTCTTTTTTTTTTAAAGATTTTATTTTTTTCCTTTTTCTCCCCAAAGCTCCCCGGTACATAGTTGTATATTCTTCGTTGTGGGTCCTTCTAGTTGTGGCATGTGGGACGCTGCCTCAGCGTGGTTTGATGAGCAGTGCCATGTCCGCGCCCAGGGTTCAAACCAACGAAACACTGGGCCGCCTGCAGCGGAGCGCGTGAACTTAACCACTTGGCCACGGGGCCAGCCCCAGAAATCATTTTTTTTCTTTTTTGAGGAAGATTAGCCCTGAGCTAACTGCTGCCAATCCTCCTCTTTTTGCTGAGGAAGACTGGCCCTGAGCTAACATCCATGCCCATCTTCCTTTACTTTATACATGGGTCACCTACCACAGCATGGCTTGCCAAGTGGTGCCATGGCCACACCCGGGATCTGAACCGGTAAACCCTGGGCCGCCAAAGCAGAACGTGCGCACTTAACCAGTGCGCCACCAGGCCAGCCTCTGAAGTCATTAAATCTTAAGATTCCCTCAGAATCCATAGATTATAGATGAGAACAGTGGTTTAATGTAGCATGGCCTGTGTTATGTGCTCCTCATATTTTCTTCTAGAGTTGTTAATGATTGATCTTCATTTCTTAACCCTAGAGATCTTCAGACTATAAAAAGCCTGTGGGATAATTTTTTACTTCTGAGGTTTTTTTTTTTTTAAATATACATTTCATTTTTAGTTAAGCCAGATTTAGGATATAGGACTAACAGAGAAATTAAACATGTTGGGCAATTTCAGTGTCTTTCCTACTCGGCTCTGGAACCAGACTGTCTGGGGTGGATCCCTGCTCTGTACTTTAGCTGCTGTGTGGTCTTGTGCAGGTTGTTTTGTGTGCGTGGTGTATAGGGTATATGAGGGAATGGTAGGGAACAAGACTGGAAAGATAGGCAGAATCAAGACAGTAAGGGGTCTTAGATAATATGTAGGAATTTGAACTCCTGTAAGTGGATGGGAAGCCACTGGAAAATTATGAGCAGGGGAGTTATACCATCAGATTGTGCTTACAAACATTACTGTGGTTCCATTTGAAAGGGATGAATTGCAGTAGGTCAAGAATGGAGTCATTAAAAGAGTGGATGTAGTGATCTAGGTCAGACAAGATACCTGAGCTAAGGAATAGGATTAGAGACAGAGAGGAAGACATAAATATGAGAGAGATTTAAGCATTAAGTATAAGTAAGACTCACTGACTGACCAGATACAGAGACGGGGGGAGGGAAAGTCCAGGTTGATTTCTGTCTTAGCTGGGTGTACTGTGATGCTGTTAACCAAGAGAAGTGTTTTTGGAGCATGGGAAAGAGAATACAAGTTTGTAACTAAAGACTGTATGAGTAGAGATAGCCAAATAGGGTCTGGAGCTTAAAATAAATATCTGAGTTTGAGATGATATATTTTGATAATACTTGGAACCACAGGAGTGGCTGAATTTATAGGAATAAGGTGACAGGTGACAAAAGAGATGAGAATAGAACCTGAAGTACTCCAAAAAGGGAAAAATTGGCCAGGGAAAGAAAGAGAACCAGAACTATTGTATTTTCATCAGAAAACTTTTGCTATCCACTAACACTTTTCTCCTAATTCCCCATGTCTTTAACATGAGACTAAAACCAGGAAAGGATTGGGACATGGGCACGCAAGCAGGGCACAGCTTTTGGATTGTTAGGCTGTTTAATGGTACTTTTCACTGCTAAATGCAGAACTATCCCCTAAATAGTTGCTGCTCCCCAACTGAAAACTGCTGCTCTGGGAAAATGTCTATGCCGCACCTTATTCACGTCTGTCTTGTCTTGACGTTGTCTCCTCAGCTTACTCCTGTGCAGTTATAACCTCAGTCAATATTCATTTTTTATGACTATTCTAATAGACGTAATTTCAAGCCCATGTGTTACCAAAGCCCATGTTGAACTGTTACATGAAAGCTAGTCATCTACGTGACAAGGCATGGCCAAAAGAGGTGTTCAGTAGAAAGCAGAAATTGTTATCCATAGGGTAATGCCGTATAAATACAGACATAGGAAAAGAGAACTTCACTATAATTTACTATTAAAGAAATTCAGTATCCTAGGATATTTTTGTTTCGAAAAGACAAATTTCCTGGACCAGTGAGTGTGGAATAGTTAGCAATATGAGATTCAAAGTTTAGGACAGTTTGGGTAAAAGATTTATTTTTGTTATAGCTTTATTTATATGCCATGTATTTATTTATTTATAGCTCTGAAGATGGCTGTAGTGGATATCTACCATTCCAGGTTAAAGGAGAGACAAAGGCGGAAAAAGTGAGTATAGAAAAACATCTTGCTTCTTTTACTTTTGGACTGTTGACCATATATAGCCCATAAGAACATTCCACTTGTGGCTCGTCTTGTGACCTTGAGGAAGACACTTAACCTCCTTGGGACTCAGTTTTTCCATCTGTCAAATGGGGATAAGAATGCCTGTTCTTGTTTTGTTTTTACCTCCTCCTTCTGTACCCTTTCTTGATTTTATGATGACCAGTGAATAATGTGGGTGCACTGTTTTAAGGAAAAAAGGAACAAGATAAATTCAAGGTGTTAAGTTGTTTTGCTTTTTTTAATGCTCTCATTCTAACTGCTCATTTTTTATAAGTCTTTTATCTAAAAGGACTTCAAAGAAATTCTGAACAAGTTTCAGGCACTCTTGGTTATTCCTTCTCTTTGGAACAGAACAAAAAATATACATTCAGACTGAGAAATTATGGATCCTAGACCCCTGTTGGATTACAGAGATTTTACAAAGTTCAGAGAAGGGTATGCAGAGGGTGTGAGTGTGCACGTGTGTGTGTGTGTATGTATATGTGTGCCTGTTACTATGGTGTTACTAACTAGAAACACAGTGGTATCACAACAATAAAAAGAAATGGGGCGGGGCCTGCCCTGTGGCTGAGTGGTTAAGTTTGTGCACTCCACTTCGAAGGCCCAGGGTTTTCCTGGTTCGGATCCTGAGCACGGACCTAGCACTGCTCATCAAGCCATGTTGAGGTGGCGTCCCACATGCCACAACTAGAAGGACCCACAATGAAAATATACAACTATGTACTGGGGGGCTTTGGGGAGAAGAAGGAAAAAAAAAAGGAGGGGCTTGCCCAGTGGCTGGCACAGCTGTTAAGTGCGCACATTCCGCTTCTCGGTGGCCTGGGGTTCACCAGTTCGGATCCCGGGTGCGGACATGGCACCGCTTGGCAAAAGACATGCTGTGGCAGGCATCCCACGTATAAAGTAGAGGAAGATGGGCATGGATGTTAGCTCAGGGCCAGTCTTCCTCAGCAAAAAGAGGAGGATTGGCAGCAGTTAACTCAGGGCTAATCTTCCTCAAAAAGAAAAAAGAAAGCAGTGGGGCTTGGGAGACTCTCCTGAGGGACAAAGACGTGATCTAAAGTAAATCCTACTCTGCATGTCTGGAGTAAGCTTCCAGGAAGTGCTGAAGAAGATTACCCAGCTGCTTTTCTGAGAAGCTTCATTGCTAGTCATGAATACGTCTGATATAAATCAAAGGTTCCAGACACAAAACTCTGCATGGTTTATTTAGTTTCTCTTTTGCTTAAAACACACAATTAGAGCAAGGCAGTTTTGTAGAACTCAGTTGTTGAGGTTGCTATAATGCCCTTCCATTAAACATACACAATATTTATTTCAAATAGCTTCAAAACATTATGTGAATGTACAGTTGTTAATGTTGAATGTGGGATCATGGTGCCCTTCTATGGTTAACAGATTTCCCTTAAATGGCCATTCTCAATTATTACTTCCTTAAGCTGAATAGATTTTTTGTTTTGTTTTGTTTTGGTGAGGAAGATTGTCCCTGAGCTAACGTATGTTGCCAGTCTTTCTCTTTTTGCTTGAGGAAGATTGTCCCTGAGCTAACATCTGTGCCAGTCTTCCTCTATTTTGTATATGGGACACCGCCACAGCATAGCTTGGTGAGTGGTGTGTAGGTCCGTGCCTGGGATCTGAACCCATGAACCCTGGGCCGCTGAAGCAAACCATGCAAACTTAACCACTATGCCACCAGGCCAGCCCCTGAATAGATTAATTTTTATGACATGACACTGATTTCCTTCTATTTCATCTTAATGTAGACATGTATTTTTCAGTATTTGCGCGTGCTCATTAATTGATTTGTTCATCCAGCAAATAGTTATTGAGAGTCTACTATGCCCAAGGAGATGAAAAATATATGATGCTTGAGAGCCTAAAATTGTGTTAGTGACTCACTGACCTGCAAAACTTTGTGGGGAGTGACTTCTTTGGACCTCAGTATTCTACCTCATAGTGTTTAGGATGTCTAATAAACACTGCATGTGGAAGACATTATTAAATATGAAACTAATTATAATACATTATTGTGGCTTTTATTCTAGAATTATAAGAGACCATGGATTAATCAACCTTAGAAAGTTTCAGTGTAAGTATTAGCTGCTTTCTTTATTTTAAAATTTCTTCCAACATTATTGAATTGTTTTAAACAAATCGTTTATGGCAGTAGTTCTTAATCCAAGTTGCGTATTAGCATCACCTAGGAAGTTTTAGGAAATTCTAGTGCCTGGGTGTCACCCCAGACTAAGTCAGAATCTCAGGGTAGAGCTAGAGCATCTGTATTTTAAAAACATATTCATAATGAGAGTTAAGAACCTGGAGCCAGCCCTGTGGCCAAGTGGTTAAGTTCACGCGCTCTGCTTCCATGGCCCAGGGTTTCACCAGTTTGGATCCTGGGTGTGGATGTGGCACCGCTCATCAGGCCATGCTGAGGTGGCATCCCACATGCCACAACTAGAAGGATCCGCAACTAAAATATACAACCATGTACGGGGGCACTTTGGGGAGAACAAGGAAAAATAAAAAATAAAAATAAAAAAATCATTAAAAAAATCCAAACATTAATGTATAGTCAATAGTGCTTGCATGAGAATTCTTTTTTTTTTTAATTAGTAATTATAGCACAAATATTAATGGATCATTTCTGGAACAAGGTAGGGTCATTGTTTTGGAACTGTATGTTAAACATAACATAACCTTGATCTTCAGATTTTGAAAACGTTTTTATGGAAAAATCAACAGAAAATGATGTGTTTATTTTGCATGGTAGTGGACAAACCAAAAAAGCATTTATCATTTTATGATGGTGATAATAAACCTATAGTGATTTTTAAGTGAATGCTAACTTTGACCTCACTGTTTTAATATTGGAGATACCTAGGCTGGGCAGAAAGAGGCCCTGTTCTTTTTCTTCCTCTGTACTGTAGAGTTTATTTAGCAAATAAGAATGATGATCTCATAGTAATTATAATATTTATATTAAAATCTTTATAATACTTATATTTCACAATAGTCTTTTTTTGTAAAAGTACCTAATGACTTTCGTGCTTCACATCCTAGTCGATAGAATCTTAGAGCATTTGGCACTCTGGGCCACTGTCGGGTTCAACTCAGCCAGACATGGGTTAAGTGTTTTTTTAATATAGTCATAATCATAAGTATGTTACATTTTATTTTGTTTAATTTTTTGCTTTCTGTTATGCATTTTTCAAGTGTGATGTTTTGAGGATATCACTTTTAATAGTTACATAATATGTTGTATCTATACATAAATATATATTAATATGCTTAACCTGTCTTTTATTATTATTTAGCTTTAGAATTTTTTTTTAAGGTAGATTCCCAGAAATTGAATTAATATTTAGGTCAAAGAATATGATGATAAAAATGCTTGACACAGGCTGCCAGATTGCTTTCCAAAAGATGGTTATGTGAATTTATATTCCTTCCTGCAATGTACAAGATTGCCTGTTTAACCTTGTTCCATTGAGAGCTGTGGGTTTGCAAAAATAACTCAAGATCATATTTCCATGCCCTTTCTATTGACAATAATTGGTCATGTTCCGGTAGCCACAGTAGTGGGTTCCCCCGTCTGAATTCCAGGACTTTCCGTAATAGGTCTGTTGGGTTTTAACCTTTATTCCTAGTAGACCTTGACTTTTGTATAAATTCTCTTCTCGGCTGGTGGACAGAGGTCAGTTTAGCCTCATTATTCTTTCAACTATATTTCTTAGGTATAGAGCTGAGGGGAAGCTCTGTTGCTTCCGAGAAAGAAGTGGCATGTACAAGGTGTTTTCAGAAGTTTTTTTAAAGATTTTATTTATTCCTTTTTCTTCCCAAAGCCCCCTGGTACATAGTTGTATATTCTAGTTGTGGGTCCCTCTAGTTGTGGCATGTGGGATGCCCCCTCAGCATGGCCTGATGAGCGGTGCCATGTCCACACCCAGGATCCGAACCAGCAAAACCCTGGGCCACCAAAGCAGAGTGTGCAAACTCAACCACTGGGCTATGGGGCCAGCCCCCCAGAAGTTTTAAGTTACCGTTATACTGAACCGATATGTGACCTTAATATGGTAGGCAGAGTTGGTTTTTTTCATCAAATTTAAAAATTTTACTCCAAATTCTTTTGTATTATCTCTGCAGTGAGCAGGAGAGGGAGTTGTAGTGAAAATAATCAATCTGTGGCTGCCCATCAGATCAGCTCCTGGAATTTGTGGACAAGACTGTCTCCTGCAAGGGAAGAGATTCATCTAAAAAGAGGACTTAATTTTAATAACTGTCCTAAGTGAAAGCCTGTATCTTTAGTCCAAGAGTGGACAAACTAGCCTAGTTACTACTGATTATCTGATGGAAATGACCAAGTAGCAGTTTAAGAGTTCCTGACCCCTCCACCCTACCAGTTATTGTTGGTGGGTTTTGCTCCCTGTCTTCTTTGCCAATACCTCTTTTTATTAGAAATTTGGTCAGTAGTGATCCTCAAAGTTGCTGACCCTGGCTACCCTGTGTATGTGACCATTTACTTGCATGATAGTTATCAAAATTAGTAGTAAATTAAGTTATGGTGCTTGCTTTAGTTTAGAGAAAGGCAAAATGAACCATGTAGAGCGTGAAAAAATAAATGCCTCACTTAAGGATGTGTAGGTAGGGAGAAGATTTTTGGGAGGGCATGCGAGAGATTACCTACTTTCTCCAGGCTAATCTGCCTCTTCCAGATGGATCATTGTGTCTGCACTTCTCTTGCTTTCCTGCGGAAGTTAATACCGGAAATTTTGCCCAACACTGGGTTCCTAATAATGTGTGATCTGCCTTTAATTGTCTTTCCCGTTACTGCCAACAGTTCCTGCCCCTGTTCAGATTAAGAGACAGTGAGATGTGGAGGTCACTTGGGTGCTCAGTAGTGCAGATATCTCCAGTGATGATAACATCACTCTGTGATGCTGTTATCATTATGATTAATGTTTTGCATTCTTAGCATTTCTGTTTGCTTTCAGTCATAGGTAAGTTAGTCATGTGAGGTCAGGAATAACGTCCTTCCATTTCACTTCTTGTGAAAGAAATGCAGAAAACTTAGAGTTACTTATATTCTCTGTGACATGGTTGTGTTTCACTTTCTCTATAGTAATGGAGCGGCGGTATCCCAAGGAGGTCCAAGACCTTTATGAAACAATGAGGCGATTTGCAAGGATTGTGGGGCCAGTGGAGCATGACAAGTTCATTGAAAGCCATGCACGTAGGTAGTTTTTGAGTGTTAAGCAACTATTTGTGTGTGTGTGTGTGTGCGTGTGTGTGTAAATAGGAGAGAAAATAGTCTGTTTTATGTGATGTTCTGTAAACAAATAAATGGATATTTTCTTCTGTCTTCCCCTTTATTACCATGAGATAAATTTGGGACTTTAGGAGTGGGAGAAGAGAGGTTAAAAAACCTATTGGCTTCCCCCCCACCTCCCAGGTAAATAGTAGTTTAGTGGGTTCCCCCCCCCCACTTTTTATTATGGGAGTCTTCAAATATATACAAAAGTAGAGATAATAGTATAATGAGGATTCATGTATCTATCACCCAGCTTTAGTAATTACCAACACATGGCCAGTCCAGTTTCATCTTTACCACCCACTCCCCTCCCACCTTCAACTGGATTATTTTGAAGCAAATCTCAGACATCATATTATTTCAGTTATAAATATTTTAGTATTAAAACTAGTTTTTAAAAAGGGGGCAGAGTTGGATGACTCATGGAAATAGTACTGCCATCATTCTTTTCCCTTTCTCTCTGAGAGAGCTCTACCCAGTTACCATTTGATTTTTTCACGATAAAAAATTGAAGTTGTTAAGGCAGTAAGGCCTAGACTTTAAAACAGTCTGGACTGGGTGACTTGGTCTATGCTTTTCATCGTGAGATTTGTGTATTTGACCCCCTAGTGTAGTTCTGGGAAGGTACTTTACCAAGGCTCTTACCCCGATCTCATCATGCAGATATTTCTTGCATGGCATTGTAGGCATTTATCTGAGCCAGGTTGGTTGTCCTCACGAAACACCCTGTTTGGTTGGCATTCTTTGTGTGGTTTCTACTGGTGACTGATCCCTTACTTCCTGTCCCAGTTTGTGCCATCCCTGGTTTATGTGTCACTCCAAAGAACTACACCCCGTGGATTGTCAAGACTCTTCCTTCATCCTCTATTTTAAAGCACCCAAATTTGGATGTTCTATCACGTAATAACCCAAGCAGTGCAACCTGATCTGTGTGCTCAGAGAAGGCAGAAATCTTTGGTTTATGGAAACACAATGCTCTTTTGTTCTATGGGAGAAAAGCTATAACAAAACTATCTGGGACTTGAGCACAGAGCTTTTGTCCTTTCCTTGCAAACGAGCCACATCAAGTAATACCAGAGACCGGTTTCTTAAAAGAGTTTGGTTATGTGGATAGAACTTTTAAGAGGATAAATAGAGCAGGGAAACTTGCTTATTTAGAAAATTATATTCGTTACTTCTGTAGCTAAATGAATTCAGCCAGTTTACTCATAAGTTTCTAGGAGATGGTTCCAGCTGCTTTCTCCAGCTAGAGACAGCAGCCAGAAGACAGCTGGAGTAGGTTTTTCTCAGCTCTTGGGTAAAATTTCTAATGAGATGTTACCAACAAATAGGATTCCCCAAATGGAAATGCCCAGTCTTTTATATAAGGCAGAATTACTGAAAATAACAGCAAAAGTGCTCATTTTTGTTGATTTTGTTTTTCCGGTTTTTCTCTTTCATTCTTTTTGGGATGAACAGTGGAATTTGAACTCCGAAGGGAAATCAAAAGACTCCAGGAATACAGGACAGCAGGCATTACCAATTTTTGTAGTAAGTATGCTTAAGCTACACACTATGTCAGATGGCAGGTGTCTTCCAAACACTTAAGAGTCTCTGTCTGAGGTGGTATGGATTTTTTTTTAAACAAGCTTTCTTTTTTCACAATGAGTTTTTTATTTTTCCAGTAAAGTTGCATCTATTTAATCCTTATAAATACCATTATATGCATTATCTTAGATAAAATAAAAGTTATGACACAAAAAAGAGAGGTGCTGCTTTAGACTTAGGATTCCGTGGCCTCTTAAAAAAAAAAGGGAATTTTGTATTCCAGTTTTTAGCCTCAACCTTTTTAAATTTAATGATGATGGTCTCATCATTCTTTTCTTTTTTTTTTTTTTGAGGAAGATTAGCCCTGAGCTAATTACTGCCAGTCCTCCACTTTTTGCTGAGGAAGCCTGGCCCTGAGCTAACATCCATGCCATCTTCCTCCACTTTATATGTGGGACGCCTACCACAGCATGGTGTCCCAAGTGGTGCCATGTCCACACCTGGGATCCGAACCGGTGAACCCCAGGCTGCCGAGAAGCGGAACGTGCGCACTTAACCACTGTGCCACCAGGCCAGCCCCTCATCATTCTTATTAACCAAGCTTCCACTGGCTCTAGGTGCTTGCCTCCCCATTACTTGAGGTAGTAATAACAGTTATTTAAGAGCAGCTAACATCTAATAGCAGCAGTTTACCATGCACCAGGCCCTACGCTAAGCATTTCACCTGGATCGTGTCATTTATTTCTCATAGCAAACTAATGATGTATGTATTGTTAGTTCCATTTAATGAAGAAACTAAGACGTAAAGTGATAAAGAGATAGTTGTAGTAGAGCCAGGTCATGAGGGAAGGCAGTCAGTGTGTTATAGTAGTTAAGAGCTTGAGGTCTAGACTTGGACAGCTTGGGTTTGGATTCTGGCTCTCCTGCTTATCAGATCTGCAATTCTGTTCAAGTTTCAATTTTCTGAGCCTCTTAGAGTTATAATGCATGAAAACATAGCACAGTATGTGGCACACAATAAATCCTCGATAAATGTCAGTTTCTATTGTTTTGTTGTTATTGTTGGAAAGATCTTTAGTAGTTCTTCCTTCTTCCTGTTGATTGCAAGCTACCACCCACTACCCTCAAGAAGTAGCCCTGTGAGTGTAAGTGCACCCTAGTATAATTGTTCTTTATTTTTAACAACGGAAACCGTTTTTGAAATGAAATTTTATGTGGAGCCCTAATCTATAAATAAGATAAAAGAGACGACTTTGGTCTAAGTCCCATAGTTTGGCATGTGTGGAACCCAGGACCACCAGTATGTGGTGGTGCCCTCGTTCTTCACAATAACGCCTGAGATATCTTCATGGTATCCTGGGGCTCTGTGGCACATAGTTTGAAAGCCACTGGTGCTGTATTTTGGAATCTGTGTACCTTTGTTAACATGTAAAAAACACTGTGCAACCTTTGTTTAATAAGATGCCTATCAAAACTCTGATACCAGGCTGACCCCGTGGCCTGGTGGTTGAGTTCGTTGCTCTCTGCTTCGGCGGCCCAGATTCAGTTCCCAGGTGTGGACCTATACCACTCATCAGCAGCCATGCTGTGGTAGTGACCCACATACAAAGTAGGGGAAGACTGGCACAGATGTTATCTCGGGTGAATCTTCCTCAGGAAAAAAAAACTCTGATACCAGGTTTTGGTTACCTGATGTTGATTGCCTCTGGGAAGGAGGGGAAAGGGATAATACTGGTCAATGACAACTTATTTTTATTTGTAATTTTAATTGGGTGGTTTTTTCTCTTTTTTTAAATGCAGGATCTTTTTCTTCTTCTTCTTCTTCTTCCCAAAGCCCCCCAGTACATAGTTGTATATTCCAGTTGTAGGTCCTTCTCATTCTGCTGTGTGGGACACCTCCTCAGCATGGCCTGATGAGTGGTGGTAGGTCCACGCCCAGGATCCGAACTGGCAAAACCCTGGGCCCCCGAGGTGGAACATGTGAACTTAACCACTTGGCCACAGGGCCAGCCCCTCTAATTGGTTTTTAAGGAAGAGTGTATGTTCATAGTGCTTGTGCGACTTCAAAAAATACATAGATGGAAAAAAATAGAACAGGAAGCAAATATGACAGTGTTAAAAGTTAGTTACTTTTAGGGGGTGAAAATATGAGTTACTCTTACTTCCTTTGTACTTTTTCTTTGGCAGGGGTTTTTTGCCCTCAAATTTCTTAAAGGTAGAAAAGGAATAAAAATATTTTTATTTCTTGTCAAAAAAGGGACTTCTCACTAGAGGAAATCTACTTTGCTCTTGGAAAAATAATTGTGAGGGCAGTTTTGCAAAGGAAACCAAAAAGACAAACTGTTTGCTGGTCAGTTAGGTAGCTCTGCAGGTAGTTCTGCTGCCTTGTTGTTGTAGTCCTCGTGTTTGTTTTTTACCCCTCCAGGTGCCAGAACCTATGATCACCTCAAGAAGACACGAGAGGAGGAGCGTCTTAAACGCACCATGCTCTCTGAAGTTCTCCAGTATATCCAGGACAGTAGTGCTTGCCAGCAGTGGCTCCGCCGGCAAGCTGACATGTGAGTAATTCGTCCAGAGTGAAGGAACATCCCCTTGGATGCTTTGGCCTTTACGTGTTTTCAGAATTTCCACAGGCACCCTACCCTGAATGGCAGAGAAATAGTAACTGGGTAGCTAGAAGAATTCAGAAAATTTTAGCAGTCTGTCTCAGAAACTGTGTGGTAATGACAGTTTTGAGAAATATATTTGGCTTCCTAGAATCCCACTTTGATCTTATTTTTTAAAATTAGTAAATTCCCTCCACCCATGCCTTCTCTTTGCCTCCGTATCTATAGCTTTGATTTCCATTGGAGAATCATGTTCCTGTCCTTTCCCTGTGAATGGTCTCAGTGATGTTCCAGGCTAAGAGCTCTTCTTAACAAATCCAAGCGATTCCCCCACTCCCCCAGAACAGATTCCTTTCCTGGTTAGTGCAGTGGGATATCCTGGAAAATGTAGTGCAGTCTATCTTGTTAATCTCTTCAAAGTAACCAACCCGATAAATGGCGCCCAGTCCCCCACGGGGTTTTGGAAATTGCTTTCTTTGCTGTGACATAAGTTTAAATTCCTCTTTGTTGTAGTGATTCTGGCCTGAGTCCTTCCGTTCCAATGGCTTCAAATTCAGGTAATTATTTTTCAGGCTGGAGCAAGTCTTGATTGTGAAGCTTTCATTCTAGAGATTGTGGTGACCCAACAATCCCTCCCTACTTTGTGTGAGCAGAGTGTTTAGGCAGAGTAAAGGTAACTTGAGTGTTATCCCAATTTATAAACATCAGCAGGTTTTCAGAGTCTTCATGGCTAGACAGACACTTTCCTCAGAATTAGAGTACAGAGAAAGGAGAAGAAAGGACTCCAGAGAGGTGTTTGCTTTATTTTACCAGTGTTCATGGGCAGTTAGTTTACTATGGTTGTATCTACCACAAATTTTTTTCTTTTTCTTTCTTTCTTTCCTTTTTTTTTTTCTTTGCTGAGGCAGATTTTCCCTGAGCTAACATCTGCTGCCAATCTTCCTCTTTTTGCTGAGGAAGATTTGTCCTGAGCTAACATCTGTGCCAGTCTTCCTCTATTTTGTATGTGGGTTGCCGCCACAGCATGGCCATTGACAAGGGGTGTAGGTGTGTGCCCAGGAACCACACTCAGGCTGCTGAAGTGGAGAGTGACAAACTTAACCACTAGGCCACAGGGCTGGCCCTATCTACAACAAATTTTGAGATTTGTCTTGCCGGGGATAAATTAAAGGTTTTGTATCCTATATGAGCAAAGAGGCATGTTACTTGCCAGAAATGCAAGAATTTCTTTATAAATTGGAGGCTTAAGATATTTCTGTTTCTGGGGCCGGCCCCGTGGCCGAGTGGTTAAGTTCACATGCTCCGCTGCAGGCGGCCCAGTGTTTCGTCAGTTCGAATCCTGGGTGCAGACATGGCACCACTCATCAAGCCACGCTGAGGCAGCATCCCACATGCCACAACTAGAAGGACCCATAACGAAGAATATACAACTATGTACCGGGGAGTGTTGGGGAGAAAAAGGAAAAAAATAAAATCTTTAAAAAAAAAAAAAGATATTTCTGTTTCTTATCTTACCTCTTTGGGTATGTACAGAGCAAGATTAAGCCGTATACTATCTGGTAATCCCTTGGTGCTTGGTAGTCAATGACTGGTAGTTCAGGGTAGTGTTAGTTACCCTGCTCCATTTGGTAGATTAGCCACTTCAGGGTGGTATTAGTCACCTCTGCTCCATGTGGTAGGTTAGCCACTTTCCTAATCAGAACATACGACCCCTCCACTGATTAGAGATGGACTAGTCCAGAAGATGACTCATTTGCAGTTTTATCATTCTTTGGAAGCTTGGAACAACAGACTTCGTGATCCCATGGACAACCTCTCAGTAGATTCAGGATCTAGGCAGGCCTCAGAGAAGGCTGCTTTCAGGATGATACCTTTTCTTTTCCATTTATCCTTTTGTTTCAAGTAATTATTTCTTAACTCAAAGGAGAAAAGAGAGTCTTTAAGGGAGTAGCCAAGACAGCTAAATCCAAGTTTTATCTTACAAGTTTTTTACTTCCAACCTGCCCCAATCTAAATACAGAAATACAAATAACTTAATAATTGGCTAACTCAGGGCCGGCCCCATGGCCGAGTGGTTAAGTTCGTGTACTCTGCTTCGGCAGCCCAAGGTTTTGCCAGTTCAGATCCTGGGTGCAGACATGGCACTGCTTGTTAGGCCACACTGAGGTGGCATCCCACATGCCACAACTAGAAGGACCCACAACTAAAATATACAACTATGTACTGGGGGGATTTGGGGAGAAAAAGCAATAAAAAAAAAAAAGAAGAAGATTGGCAACAGTTGTTAGTTCAGGTGCCAATCTTTAAAAAAAATATATATGTATATATTGGCTAACTAAAATGAATGAACTAATATGACCATGCAACTTTGGTATTTGTGTTTTCTGGACCATCTGCACTCCCTTATTCCTTGTTGCTTCCTAGACTGATGTTAGCCTTCCTCATCCTCTATAGTTAGGTTGAGGAAACCCCTTGCTCCCCTTCATGCTCTGAGTTGCTCCTAAGGCAATGCACAGTTAGGAGCCTGGATCATTGAGTGTAACTCAGAGTCTGGTAACTTTAGTAAGGCACTAATGATTTTAGTCTCCCTTTTTCAGCATTTAGGGTGAGGCTAGGCCTGTCGGTTATGGGGAAGCCCTTACCCCTTTGTTGATGTTGTAGGTAAGCCTGTTTTCTAGCAGAGCCGCCTATAACAGTCCCTCCCCTTTTCCTCCACCACCTAAACGGCAGCCCCCATAAAACTTGTTAATATATTATTCTACGTTTTCTTTTGCTTGACTCAGTCCATCCATGCCCAACTGAACAGTAATCCCAAATAGACATTCAAAACAAAACCAAAAAATTTTGCACATCAAGCTTCCCATCCTGGGCAGTGACCTCATACTTGGGTTTCTTTCTCAGGTATGTGAGTTCACCTCAGCCTCTGCTTTGCCATATAATGGTTCATTGTTCCTCCGTGTAGATCTTTCAGGTAAACAGGGCTACTTTGGAAGGAACAGATATTCCCTCACATAATAAATAAGACGGGACTTTTGCTGGCCTAACAGTCTGCCTTTGATCTGAAGGCAAATGGTACTTGGTTAATTACCATATTTGCCTTGTACTGCTGGCAGAGTAGCAAGGGTTAGGAAATGTCTCTCCTGCAGAGTTGTTATTTCTACTCATCAGCTGCCAAGGCCAGCAGTGTATGACCTTTCTTAACTGGATGACATCTGGGCTTTAGATATTAGAATCTCCTACTGGTTAGGAAGAAATGGGTGATAACTACTGTGGTAAGTAGTCATATTTGATGCTAAGGGATATGTGATTGTATGTGTAGTGTAGCAGAGCAAAGGGCACATGAATTACCATTTTTATTTTCAAGTGAACATTGGGGTGCCCATGTTCCTAGCTAAACTGAGGCCTGAGGTGATGGGTAGAGAGTTCCTACAGCTAGATATAGTGATCTTGTACCTAACTGGCCTGGCGTTAGTGGTGAACTCTGTAATACTTTATACTTGAGGAATCGTCACTCCTATGAAATTTATTCTCTTTTCTGTCTATGTGTATAGGTAGACGAAGTGCACCACCCTTGAACCTCACTGGCCTTCCTGGCACAGAGAAGCTGAATGAGAAAGAAAAGGAGGTAAGAAAAAGAAGGGGAGCTAGAGGAAAGAGAGTAGGGGCTGATTATGCTTTGGGTTGTCATGATCAAACCCATTTTGCAGGATCAAACCCATTTTGTTCTGCTCATGTAACATACATGTCCAGGTCTAGTCCATGCTAGAAGTTGAGCTGAAGAATGAACCTCAGCAGGTTTCAGAGAGCTCCTTTCCTTATCGACTGCCACCATTCATCTTCTGAGAGAAGAACATGGGATGTGTAAATCTGAATAATAGCAGCTGTCATTTATTGAGCATTTACCATGTACAAATACTGTGCTAAGTGCTTTATGTAAATGAAATTGAGTTTTTATTAACTTAAAATCACTTGTATATGAAAATGATTATTTCCCATTAGAGTGGTCACTTTGAGAAGTTCTACACTTATTCCAACAATATAATCATCACTTAGAAGATTTTCGGAATTGTTTCCATAGCATGTTTATAAGCATAAAGAAAGGAATTTGTCATCATATATAGTCGTACATTAATTTTGATTAAAAAATGCCATGACCTATTTTTTTTTCCCATTATAATCATCAGGTTTGTCTTCATGTTACTTTTGGCTGTTTCTAAAATTTAAGTCCAGCCTCAAGAGTCATCATCAAGCATTTTCAAAAGAATGTGCGATGGCTCTGAAGTGCATTCCCAAGGGGAGTTTCTCTTTTATTGCTCACGTGTTTTTACAGTTCCAAAGATCAGGCCCCACATCTGCCGCTCCAGGTCATCAACTCAGGTCAGAGAGTGAGGAAGAGTCGCGGAGTAGGGGCTAGTTTAGTCTTTCCTTTTCTCCACCAGGAATGGTAAAGATTAGTTTGAGAGTAGAAGGAAGTACGTGTTCCATGGAAGTATTGCTGAAGAAGCTCACAGGCCCTTCTGATTTATGGACGGAATGGCCTAAGTCCCAAGCAGTTGTTGTTCTTACCTACAAAGTGGTGGCCTCGGACTGCTTACTGCTGGATAATAGCAGGTGAACTGGAATTGAGCCAGCTTTCTAGACAGCTAAAGTGGCCTCTTAGCCATGTCTCTGTCTCCTGTCCCTCTAAAGTGGGAAATGTATCACAAAAGCAGAGACTACTTACTACTTTATGCCGATACTAAAAATAATGTGATTCACACTTGGGCATCCAAGTAGCTGCACCCCCGCCCCAACTGTGTCCTGTGGCTCTTCCCTGACTGGCTGTGTTGGAATGTGCTGGGCTGGGCCTCAACCCAGGCAGCTCCTCAGGACACATACTTGTCTTCCCTGACGAACCCAGGCGAGCCAGCCAACACCTGCTAAAGGCTCTCCCAGCATCCTACCCCGGCTTTCTCTTCCTGAGTTTCTGTCTTTAGGGAATAGTCTCTCCAAAGAGGAGACTAAATGGAATGCGGTCCAGCCACCTAACAGCTCCTATAAATAGTTGGAGGTTGATGTCATTTTTAAAATTTTATTTTGGCTATACCTGCTGGATTAAATTATGAAAATGACAGATGTTAATGTTTATTAAATTTGCCATGTCTTGCAGCTCTGTCAGATGGTGAGGTTGGTCCCAGGAGCCTATTTAGAATACAAATCTGCTCTATTGAACGAATGTAACAAGCAAGGAGGCTTGAGACTGGCACAGGCAAGAGCACTCATCAAGATAGATGTGAACAAAACCCGGAAAATCTACGATTTCCTCATCCGAGAAGGATACATCACTAAAGCCTGAGGCTCTAAGGGCTTGGGACCAGAAATCACAAGTCTGGGATGTGCTGGGCCAAAGGACAGTGCGGGCATTCTGGAGAGTTTCATTTTTGAGCTGAATTCTCATTGTAAAAAAGAAGGGAAGGACAAAGGAAACCTTAAGTTGTATTAATGTCTACTTTCCTCTCCACCCTCCTCTAAAACACTCCTGTTGTTGGTATTGTGCTGTAGAGTTATGTGCTAGATAAGCTATTATTAAATGTGAGTGGGCCTTCATTCCTAACACCTCTTGTAACTAAAACAAGAACCATAGTACCTCACATCACAGTGTTGGTAGAAATAGAACTAAACCAATCTTTAGTCCCAGGAGTCCAGCTCAGATCCTTGTATTTGGGAGGTTGGTTTTCTGATCATCTGTTTTGCCTTCAAACATTACAGACAGATTTAAAATAAAGAGAAGGGTTATAGAGCCTCTCTCTTTCCTTCTGAGGACTTTTTAAGCTGACAGCTTAAGTTTATGATCCAAGGGGAGGAAAATCTCCCCATGATGGTCTTGTCCCAAACTGCATCTTTAACTTTAATGTCTGGCTTTGTACTTTGCAGTCTGTCTAATCTGCAGTAGACTTTTGAGGAGGTGGCACTGGATATAAAATGTGTTATTTTTAGAATTAATGGATTAAAATGTTTTGCTACCTGATTTGCGGGTGTGTCAAATATTCTGGTAACGAAAGCACACTTCGGGTGTTGGATGCCCGCCTCATCATGCTGCAGTGTCTCTGCTAACATGTGTGTCCTGGACTCACCCTGTTCTTGCCCTGGATACCAGGCCCCTGAGGATGGAGTTGATACAACTGACCTCAGCTTTGCTTGGATTGAGACCTGAACCCTAATTTCTCAATGGTTAAAGGCTAGCCTGCAATAAAAGCTACTTTTAAAACAAAAGTAAAGTAGTTTCATATATGGGACTCACTAGGTGCGGGGGTGAGTACCCCCCACATCTGAAACTTGGTCTTCAAACCTTTCTGCAGAGTAAGAAGCCGCACTCAGAGCCATGGTTATCCCATTGCTGCTAGAAGCAAAGTTCTGTATAGAAATAACTTCACAGTCTGCACACATTGCCTCCAGTAGCTGACAGATTCTTTAATTCCTTCAATTTTCAAAATATCTAATTGAAATATTACATGCTTTGTTGGAAGTATCTGCTCAAACGTTTTGACTGATGTAAATATGCATGCAGCTTGTTAATAGACTTCTCCTAGAGAGTTACAAATGAAAAGGAAACTCTTAGGATCTGGGGGAATTAGAATAAAGGACTTCAGTCTTTAAAAAGAGTGGCTTGTGGAAATGGTGTCTTTTCTTTGCATAGTTATATCTCTTAGAAAACGTATTCTAGGGGCCGGCCCTGTGGTGCAGCAGTTAAGTTCGCACGTTCCGCTTCTCGGCGGCCCAGGTGCAGACATGGCACTGCTTGGCAAGCCATGCTGTGGCAGGCGTCCCACGTATAAAGTAGAGGAAGATGGGCATGGATGTTAGCTCAGGGCCAGTCTTCCTCAGCAAAAAGAAGAGGATTGGCAGTAGTTAGCTCAGGGCTAATCTTCCTCAAAAAAAAAACAAAACGTATTATGCTACCACCAGCACCCCTAGTTGGTATAAAGGGATTGTGTCTTATCCCTGAAAGGTAGTTCCTTTTCTAAAAATTTGGGATGCATGAGACATCAATGTCAGGTGATGTCTGTTATAGTCTGAAGAGTCCTTAGTCTTGGTATCGGAAGGCTTCCTGGGAGAGGTGAGCTTTTGAGCCAATGACAAGATCAAGAGGGGAGAGAGAAAACAGCAGATGGTTGGGGAGACTGTTCCAGACAGTGGGTGGAGGATGGTGTGGAGGCAGCAGTGGGAGTAAGGAAAATGGTGCCGAGAGGTTTAGTTGGCTAGGACACAAGGGGCAGCTGTGGTAGTTAGGAGTGGGAGGATGGTAAGACAGTCTGATAGAAACCTTGGAACCAGTTGAACTCTGAAAAAGTGATGGGGAATCAGTAGATTAGATGAAAATGGCATGGATCAAAATAATGATAGAAGAAGAGGCTGTAATTTCAAATACTGGATTTTAGAAAGTAGGATTATTATTATTTTGGTAAACCCAACTTTGCAAAATTTCGCATTTATAATAGAAAAGCACTTGCTGATATTTGATGTGGCTGGCTTAAGTATGTTATTTCCTTCCATGCTCTTACCACCGAAGAAAGGCCTGCCTTTTTTTTTTTTTTTTTTTTTTTTTTTTTGAGGAAGATTAGCCCTCAGCTAATATCTGCCACCAATCCTCCTCTTTTTGCTGAGGAAGACTGTCCCTGAGCTAACATTCATGCCTATTTTCCTCTACTTTATATGTGGGACGCCTGCCACAGCATGGCTTGACAAGCAGTGCCTAGCACCTGGGATCTGAACCGGTGAACCCTAGGCCACCGAAGCAGAATATGCAAACTTAACCCCTGTGCCACTGGGCTGGAGAAAGCCCTTTCTTGTTACTAAAAAATCCAGAGCTAACAAGGACCTTTCAAAGAATATTCCATCCTTCCCCTTTGCTGCTAAACGGGGTTAGCTATAAACCCAACTACACTAACAGAGGTCTCTCTTAGTTCAGATCATCTCAGAAGAGGGAGAGTTTACTCTGAAACTCAACAACATGAATAAAGACCTTTTACTCTTAGGAATTTTTATTGCAATTTAACATTAAAGGTTCCTGCTGGAATATTATGTATATCCTTCTCTGTCAGTGGTAGGAAATAGAGAACAAAAATTTCTTTCTATGTAATGACCCTTTCTTGGGCTCAAAGACCTACACTGTCTCTCATGAGACCAACTCACTATTCAGTTTATCTTTTCTTAGGTTCCAGTTTTCATCCTTTTATTGTTTACAACCTACCCGCCCCCCCCCCCCACCCTTTTAAATCTGGACTCAGTTAATTAACCAGTCCTTGCTGAGAGATAAGAACGAGTTTCCCAGTTTTGAGTAAGGAAATCATCAGCTTGTGGTTAGCTGGAAAGGGAAGAAAACCAGTGATGTTGATCAATAACAATAAAATTCCAGTTGGTAAGTCATTCTAGCTTTAGGAAATATGTAGATATATAATAAGAGAAAAAAAGTTTCCAGTATGAAGAATCAGAGGCCCAAATTACATAGAGAATCTTGGAAAAACTCACTGAGATTTACTCCTAAGCACTTTTCACTGGTCTCTAGGCAAGAGCATGGTACCCTGATTCTAAACAGCATTCTGGGAGATCGCTCATCCATTTTTAAGGACGTCTTTGGAAATACCTTCTAGATATACACTGTATTATTGTTAACACAAAAAGCTTTTCCACAACTTACACATACCTGGCTTTTTCTTTGAATTTCTAAAAATTAAAGTTTGATTCGAGAAGTACTGATCTGGAAGCTTTGCTTTCCTTTCCACAGTGCTTAGCCAGATGTGGTTAACCTCTCCTAGATCTGCCAGAAAGGACCGGCTCTGGTAGAGTGGGACACTGCCATGTCTGTGGCCTTGTGTAGAAGAGGTAGCCCAGCTAAGGCAAAGGATTTTTCTTCAGTCAGACAATAACCAGCCCTTTTGACTGCATGTAAGTGAAATTGAGCAGGATCTCGGAGTGTAAGCAGGCTCAGGGCAGCTTGGAGAGCGTAGTAATGGTCCTGCTGACATAGGCCCTTACTTTGGGAGTGAGAACAATAGTGAAGAGCATTTAGGGAATATTTTGGAACCTAAGTAGCTTATCCATGAAATATGCATCAGTACTGAGTGTTAGAGCCAGCCCTGGTGGTGTAGTGGTTAAGTTTGGGGTGCTCCACTTCAGTGGCTGGGGTTTGGTTCCCAAGTACGGACCTACACTACTTATCTGTCAGTGGCCATGCTGTGGTGGCAGCTCACATACAAATAGGGGAAGATTGGCAACAGATGTTAGCTCAGGGTGAATCTTCCTCAGCAAAAAAAAAAAAAAAAAAAAAACTGAGTGTTAGTGTGCTGCTTTTGAGGGGTGGGGGGACAGGTGAATAATTTCTGAGAAGTCTGGAAAGCCAGTTTCTATATCTGTCTTTTTCTCTTCAGTGATTGCCTTCTGCCTTGGCTTCTATCAGTTGAGATGTACTGTGATGAAAGAGTATCAACTGCCCTTTGATGTGATTGACTAGGCTTACAAGCCAAGAGACATAGGTATTTAAGGGAAGGATGAATGTCTTTCACCTGCCATTAAAATTCCTTTGTCACTGTGAATTACTTGATGGTTATGCATTGTATACTGGGCCCCCTTCCCTTTCAAGTGCATTGGGTACTGAGCCCCCTTTCCCTGTCAAGAGTAGGTATAAGGAAGTTGAGATAAGAATGTGGAGAGTGACCATTAAAAGGTTTAAAACCCAAAATGGAGAGCAACAAAAAATTTGATTTAATAGGCGTATCCCTGAATGTCACAGTACTTCCCCTTGTCTTTGGAAGCCTGCGGTTAACCTTTGCCAGCCCAGACTTGCTTCCCGTCTTTGATGGCTGAGTACTTAAGTCTGATGCACTTATTTTCTACTTTGGAGCACAGGAGATGGATTTCCGTGGCACCAAACTAATCATTTGGTTGAATTAATCTCTCATTCTTAACCAAACAACACTTTTTTTTCAGCTTGCTCTGTTTTCCCCTGAGGTCTTATGTGGCAGAAAGGTTCCAGGTGGCTTGCTAATAATCCTACCTTGGTCCAGAGTTATGTTGAACAGAAGTAGCATCTTAGGAATTGTGGAAAGGAGAAGACCTCATAATTGTTTTAAGAAACCAACACTTTCTTAATCAAGGCAAAAATGCTGAAATGCTGTCATCTTATCACCCTTCTTCAGTGAACTGACAGCTAAGTGCCAACTCCTGACACTTCTAATGAATCTCTCTTCTCTTTGGAGAGCTATCTGCCAAGTATACTCCCTGTTTCTAAAATTGTTCACAATGACCTAACCTTCTCTTTTCTCCCATTAAATAATAGATACCTACTAATTTGGATCGCCCCCACCCCACCCCCTATTATCCCTCTTCATTTAGGGAATTCCTTTAAAACATAAAAAAATATCATTTTAATAAGTAAAAAAATTAATCGACCTGCACTTGGAGCTTAATTTTAATGTTGCCAATCAATGTCCCATGCAAGAAAACTGATTTTGAATTGGGGCTAAGTGATGTTTTTCAGTTTCCAATCTTAGGACGTTATCTAAGATGAAAAGAGCATTTTTCAGGGTAATTTAATAGCTTTCCCCCCAAAAAAAATATTATAAGGGAGGGAAAAGTTCAGAAATGCCATGAAGACCCTAGCCAGGGGCCTTAGAGATGGGTGGACTGATTTGACCTTTCCTTAGAGGAGGAGGGCAGCAGTGTTGCAACCCTGGTCCCATGGGAATTTGCTGTCTGCTTTGGAGAGGTGGAACAGCTTTTCCACACCGTGTCTCATTAGGAGCCTCTTTTTAACCAAGGTCAAGCTGCAACAGAAAAAGCCACTCTAAGGTGGGGGGGGGGGGGGGGAGG